CAGCAAGTGCTGGCGAATAGTCACAATAAGAGAGTAAAACACAGGGATTTTGCCCCGGGCGATCTGGTTCTGAAAAGAAAGGTGGGGATGGTCAAAAAAATGATGCCACCCTGGGAAGGCCCATACAGAATTGCAGAAGTCATTGGCAAAGGGGCATATACGTTGGAAACCATGGCGGGAAAGTTGGTCAACAAGCCCTGGAACGCCACGTCTCTGAAGAGGTACTATCAATAGAAGCTAAGTTCTGGTTTTAATTGGATGTTATTTGTTGTTAATCAAATACATATGAATGAGCAAGTTACCGGAATTTACAAAAAAAGAAGAGAAGAATTTTCTTTTCCAATGGTCTACTATAAAAATTGAAAGCCAAGTGGCAAGTGGCATTCTAGCCGAGCGCCAGGCACTTAAGCAAGATAAGTGGCAGCTGGCACTATAAGCCGAACGCCAGACACTTGCTAAAAATTGAAAGCCAAGTGGCAAGTGGCATTCTAGCCGAGCGCCAGGCACTTAAGCAAGATAAGTGGCAGCTGGCACTATAAGCCGAACGCCAGACACTTGCTAAAAATTGAAAGCCAAGTGGCAAGTGGCATTCTAGCCGAGCGCCAGGCACTTAAGCAAGATAAGTGGCAGCTGGCACTATAAGCCGAACGCCAGACACTTGCTAAAAATTGAAAGCCAAGTGGCAAGTGGCATTCTAGCCGAGCGCCAGGCACTTAAGCAAGATAAGTGGCAGCTGGCACTATAAGCCGAACGCCAGACACTTGCTAAAAATTGAAAGCCAAGTGGCAAGTGGCATTCTAGCCGAGCGCCAGGCACTTAAGCAAGATAAGTGGCAGCTGGCACTATAAGCCGAACGCCAGACACTTGCTAAAAATTGAAAGCCAAGTGGCAAGTGGCATTCTAGCCGAGCGCCAGGCACTTAAGCAAGATAAGTGGCAGCTGGCACTATAAGCCGAACGCCAGACACTTGCTAAAAATTGAAAGCCAAGTGGCAAGTGGCATTCTAGCCGAGCGCCAGGCACTTAAGCAAGATAAGTGGCAGCTGGCACTATAAGCCGAACGCCAGACACTTGCTAAAAATTGAAAGCCAAGTGGCAAGTGGCATTCTAGCCGAGCGCCAGGCACTTAAGCAAGATAAGTGGCAGCTGGCACTATAAGCCGAACGCCAGACACTTGCTAAAAATTTAAAGCCAAGTGGCAAGTGGCATTCTAGCCGAGCGCCAGGCACTTGCCGTACAAACACACAGCAAAACTAATATAAAAAGAAAAAGAGAGAAAAGATATATATGTACTGAAGATAAGTTGAACAGAGCACAACACATAGAGAAAAAGAGTTCGGCCATTTCATTAATATTGAACATTTAGTTTACAAAAGAGAGGTGTCCATCATTACAAGAAGATATGAACTGGAAGAATTCGAAGGAGCCCTAGCTAGACGCCTCAGTACCAACAGCATCCTGGTCCTGCCGACTCGCCTCCTCGGCCCCATCAGCCGCCTCACCTTCATGAGGTGGGGAATCCAGGTGAATAACTGAGTCGTTCGGCTGGGGTTCAGCGTCAGCAGTGGCTACAGAGGGAGCCACGGTTGACGATTGGGGAGCGGTCAGTGGCAGAGCGGTAGGAGGAGCTGTGATGATCCTTGAGGATGCGATGTCCTGGCACTCATCAAAAATACGCTCCGCTTCGGTGGGTTCTGGGTCGACATAGACCCCCAGAGGCTCGATCCCCAGATCCTTGTCTACCTCATCCGGAGTGGAGCTGGTCTGTCCCTCATCCGGAACCCGGTCGGCGAAGCCTTCCCGGAATCCTTGAGCATACCGAAGAGCACCGACCCTGGAGAACCGAGCATGAAGGGCCAGCATCCCACCACCCACTCTGCTGATAACGTCGATCAGAGCGGTACGCTCGTCCAGAGCTCTTTTTTCAAAAGCCATCCGAGCAGACTGTTCATCAGCTAGAAGACGTTGGAGTTCTGCCTTCTCTTCTCTGAGTGATTCCTGCTCAGTCTGCCAGACGCTCTTCTCGAGCTGGAGGGCGTCCTTCTCATCCTGAAGGGAATCATTCTCCTTTTTCAGGACATCTCTCTCTTGCTCGGCTTTGTCAAGCCGAACCAGCACCTCGGTATTCTTCATGGCAAGGAGGTCGTTCTCTTTATTAGCCACCTCCAGGCTGTCAGAATACTTTCGGGCCCTGGCGTTCCCCATTTCCACCTGCTTCTGCATGGCCATCATCCCAAACAATGTCTGCAAAGGTGCACAATAAGAACGGTTAAACCAATAGTCAGAACGGGAGAAGGCAAGACCAAGTAATATAAGAGAATTCATGAGTTAGAAAATAAAAGTCACCTCCATAGCAGATTGGGGAAAGCGACTGAACACGTCCCTCTGGGAAAGGCCCTTTGCCGCCTCAATGTCCTTCGGAGTCCACATGCTCCTGTAGTAGGCCATAGCGGTCTGGCCATCCTTCAGCATGGTCTCGTTCGGTTTCACGAACGTCCCATCCGTTCGAGTGTACCGAGGGGCCCATGGCGGCAAGCTGGGGATAGAAGGGGGGCCTGAAGCAGAAGCAGAGCCACCAGCTGCAGGAGGCCCAGAGTGAGAAGGAGCTCTGATCGCTCGGTGCAAGAGAGTACCCGGCCCAGAGACTCGGGTCCTTCTAATAAGAGGCTCCTCCTCAGGGTCGATTTCACTGTCAGGATGAGGCCTTTTGCCTCGCTCTTTGTCCCGACCGCCCCCCGCAGCAGCAGGAGCTATGGTAGCTGGGGAGGGCGCGTTCTGGTTGGCCGCAGGGGCGCTGGCAGCAGGGTTAGTAGCCACTGCGCTCGGGACAGTGTCAGATATGGTGGCTGAAGAAGAAGCCGACGCTGGAGAGGAGGTCGCCCCAGCAGCAGGAATGACTGGGGGAGTATTTTTCCTCCTGCCAAAAGAGGGAATCTGCAGTCTGCTCATATTGTAGCCGAGTGATGAGAGCGCAAAGAGGTTGTCTGAAGTGAGGAGATCTGAGCAGGAAGGAATATCGTTCAGAACGTATCTCTTCAAGTAGTTAATCCTATCCCTGCAAACACTGTAGCTCAAGTCATCACAAGGTATTCCCAAGGAGCGGCATAAGTAAGTGCAAAAACGAGGAACGCATGTTTCACAGGGGCAGTCGTGTTTATGGGATTTGAATTTTTTATAGGAGGAGACAGAGCAGACACCAAAGGCGCTCGGGATAGGGTAATCCTCTGCAGCCGGCGAAGACCAAGCCCCACTAATACCCACTATGCTATCCCTCCAACCCTTTTCAGATTTTATTGTGTCAGTGCATATGGACATCTTCTCGAACGGGTAGAGGTGGTAGAAGGGCTCGTTAGTACGGATCTTACTGACCTTATAGCACAGAAGGAGGTCTATGAGGTCAAGGTCCAGATTTCTGTCACGCATCAATAAGAGCATAACAGATATGATCCTAAAGAAGTTGGGGTTGACCTGCAGAGGGGATATCCCCAATCTGTTGAAGACGTAACTAAAGAAAGGGTGCAGAGGGAACCTAACAACATTCAGTTGAAGGTTTGTGAATAAGACTTCGCCGGGCAGGAGGCCGGCGCCGGTCGTAATATTAACGTCTTGGGGGCAAACCCTAACTACGATGTTGTCAGGAAGCCTAAGTCTCATACGAAGGACACCCAGATCTACAACCATGGTGGAAGTGCAAGAAGAATCTAAAAGAGGGAAAATGGAAGCCTGCCGAAAGTAAAAAGAACGAAACTAACCTCGGAGGACTGCAAGATCGCTGGGAGAATGACTCTCGAAGGATTTCACCGGAAAAGGCTTAGCACAGTTCTAGAAAGAGGGAGATTTGGCTGATGATGGAGACGGTAAAGGGAAGTGAAGTGGAATTCGAGAGCATTATATAGGCAAGGGGGCCCGAGGGCCGAAGCGTCGGGAAGGCAAGAAATCCCTCGAACCCCGGAACATTGATTCTGGATCTGACCGTTCGCTCCCCCACGTGGTTATCTCGAGCCGTCAGCGTCATGATGAGACGCCATCAATAATTACCCCTTATTAAATAAGGGGCAATTATGGGGGCAGTTGAGGAGGCCCTGGATGACATGGGCCAGGTCCGACTCGCAAAACACAACCTTCAGTCCGAACAGCTGGGTCAGCCCATAAAAAGACACTGCCATATGGGCCGAGCGGGAGTAAGCCCATCAAGAGTGACCAGGGCTTACTGAGGAATAGGCCCAGGTCCAGCAATTAGTAAATATCTTGTAAATATCTTGTAAATATCTATAAATAGGAGTTGGAATGAAGAGGAGGGGGATCTTGATTCGGGTTGAGGTGTAAGAATTCTAGAGAGAGAAAGAATAGAAGGAGTTTCTTGCATCTTCAATGCTTCTCTTCTATGTACTTATTTTTGGATGAATTAATTAGGATTCCCAAAACCTGCGCCATTTAAATTTCATTTTTTTTTTTAACGAAAGGAAAACTTCAGGTAAAGTTACCCATTCTTGCAGAATGTAATTGAAAAATCATCCTGATCTAAGCATTAGAGCTGTTGATATAAGTAATTTTCTGGTCAGAGCACTCTAATTATATCTGATATACATCATTGATTTGGTCACTGAAAAGAGTGAATTAGTGACTCTCATGCACATAGTACAATAGTTATAGGTATATATGTTGGTAGAGATGAGATTACCTCAAAAATGTTACAGAAGGTATAAATAGGCACTATGTCACTCAACAATGACCATCCCCAGACCTCTAACGGAACACAGAAAAAGATTGAGATAACAGCTGCCATTTTATCTTGGTTTTTATTTACCTATCGGTTTTTGGGAAGGGAAGGGGCATGGAGTGAGGGTTTAAGAATATGCTACTATTTCCAATGCATCGAAAATTCAAGATTATTTATGCATGGATTGACGAATTTACTCTATGTATATCAAATTAAACTATGATTTGATGCTGAATCACCCAATAAAATCCTGAAATGGTGCAATAGTAAATAAAGCTTACTGGGAAAGATCCTAGACCAAGCAATTGAAAATCTATAGGCATCCATTCCCATATCCTTCATGAGTTGTATATCTCCCTGTTGCAAAAATCCGTAACATTAGGCCAGTAAAAACAACAAAAAGGAACAGAAAAGGTCTACTGACGGTGACAACTGTTTTGGCTATCAATTTAAAGCAAATCATTCTAAACATTGCTGCTCTTTTCCATAAAGATGCAAAATTATAGTTTGAATGTCGAGGAAGCAACCAAAATAGTCCGGTTTATGTGCTTCTCGGAACAAATCAGATAGAATGAACACAAGAGTGGTACTAGCTTCAGCTTGGTATGAAGCTAGTGCTATTTTTCTCAAAAAAAAGGCAATAAGCTTGATAAAAAAAAAAAAAAAAAGAAAGATCGGGTGAGGACTTACGGTATAGAGATTATATTGATCGACAGCAACATCTCCAGTACTGCCATCAAGTATCTTACCTGCAGCAAAATGTAAGGTTAGGACCTAGTTACAACCACGGCCATTGATTTTAAAATGTGTTTTTAATACACATAACCAATTATCATTCAAACATCCCAAAGTCTACTGAGCTAGTTGATGTGCTTAAAGTGGAATTGCATCACCGTTACTTCACAGAATTTAAAATTTTAAACCTATCATATAACAAACAGAAAGAATGTGAAGATGGTATAATTTAAATTATTTCTGTTTTGCAGAAAATAAAATTAACATCTTCTAGTCCTTATGACATAATAATTAATATTAAAAAAAAATTGCAGCACTGTTATTTCTATTTCTAATGACAAACTACCATTCATGTTACTCTGATGATAAAGTATTACCGAATGTGTGTGCAAATACGTCCCAATTAGTCGCACCTCTTCCATCATCTTTCACTGCTCCTTCATACTGAAAATAACATAAGCAGTATGGATTGTATTACTTAAGTTGCCATCATCATCTAATTTAGTTTACCTTTCTCACGACGGATAATCATTTGAATAAGAGCCGAGCTTAGCATGATGATATGACATAGAAATATATAGCAACAAACTATTAATGGTTGTGAAATGAATGAAAAAAATGAATTCTTATACTATTAACACGATCTTTATCTGCATAGTTGTTTTTGATCCACAAGACAGTTTTTAACCATATTATGTACATCTGAAAATTTTAATTAAAAAAGTACATTGTTGCATTGTGTGTTTCTGACCTTTAATCGTCGTTAAAAGAAATTTCTTTATAGGGAGAAAGCTAGGTTGTCCCCTTCCAAGCATGGTTGAATAGCTTTGCATCCATAACCTTGTCTAACTAATAAAATTAGGGTAAAGTGCAAAAAAACCGATTAAACTATGTTTGAATTTGCAAATAATCCCACTGGACTATATTTTGTGCACAATACCCCCTAAACTATTATATTTTGTCCTATACTATATTTCATTAAATTACCATAATGCCCTTTCTTATTAAATTACACTTCTTATTGAAATAAATTATGAAAAAAAATTATATTAATTTGATGACATATTCTCCATTAAATTTGCATAAATTTACCTTTAATTTTTGAAATTAATTGTTTAAATAAAAATCTTTAGTAGAATTTTTTTTTTAAATAAAAAAATTAATTACTTTTTAAAATTTTCATGAATATATTACATGAAAAAGAAGGTATATTTTAGTTTAGTAATTTATTAAATTTTAATCAATATATTATATGAAAAATATATATTTTTCTACTGTAAAAAAGGTTAAACTGATTATAATAAGTTTTATTATAAATAATAAAATTTTAATAATAAGTTAATCATTTTAGAAAATGTTAGTTACATATCTATGTATCTTTTTTTTTTTTCATTTTTATGATAAATTGATACTTATAATAAAATTAAGGTAAATAGTATAATAAATATTTAGATAAGAGAAAAGATAATAAAAATGATTTAATAAAAAATAAAAATTTTAATGAGAAAGGGCAAAATAGTCTTTGTAATAAATCTATCCTTAATTGCAACCAATCAATAGTTTAGGGAGCCTCTTTTAGTTCAAGGGGTTTATTTGCAAATGGATAATTGTTAAAGGGGGGTTTTTGCACTTTACCCTAAAATATAAGTCACTTCACATAAATTCCTTTCCCATTTTTTTTTTTTTTGGAATGGGGAACACTTCCAACTTGGTGAGCTATGGTATAGGACACTGCAAGGTAAGCTTTGAATATATGCAATCACCACACATAAATTTTAGTTCTCTTCTGACATTTTTTCCTTTTTCTTTCTTTTTTTTTTTTTTTTTTTTTTTCATTTTTACTCTACTTTTTTTGGTCATTAGGGGTTACCATTGTTGATCTTATTCTAAGCATCTACTTTTTCAGCTATTAGGGATTGTTTTACTTTCAAGAATTTGGCATGGAATAGAATAAGATATGTTACTCCCAAAAACTCATATGTTGTACTTGGGAGAACAGAATAAAAACGCCTTGTAAATGGAATTAAAGGAAATTTCTTCCAATTCCATTTCCAAGGTACTAATTTGGTACTGCCAAACAAAAATTTATCCCGAATCCTACTAGAAAGTTTTCTTCTAAGTTTTGATGAAGTGACACACGCATACACACACAAAATTGCGTATGGATTAGTTTGGTTGTGTGAGATTGGGAAACTTTTTAGGCATCTAGATCAATATGCTAAGCTAAGGTATAGTATGTTTGGTATGGTAGGGTATAAACTATAAACATAAAGAATCAAACTTTTTGAGTGGTCCATGTGAAACATAAACTTAAACTCAAATCCAAGAAATCATAGAAGACTTTTGAAGCTCTTTGATCTTCTGTATCTTTACTCCAAGAAAAAGAATACAATAGAATATAAATTAGGATTGAACTGAAGAACTAAGCAAGACCTGTGGGCGTGCACTGAAATTTTTAAAAATAGAGTGGTTATTTCCAAATATAACAAGAGATGAAGGCTTTTAAAAAAAAAAACAAAATCACGAAACTACCGACAACAAATTCTTTCAATACAGATAACGTTCTTATTCTGTCGCGCGCTTGTGGGGGGCCAGGCATATATAACGGAATATTTAGCAGATTACCAAATTACCCTCCACTCACCCATCTCAATCAAGGAAAGGTTGAAAACATTTACAAAGCGTGATGTATTTATGGTTTTATAGAACTTGAAGACATTACTCCGATTGTGTTTTTAGGTAAAATATTTTCTATTTTTCAATGTACGGCTCGAGATTGAGATCTAGTCTGTTAGATTTGTCCAAAATTAATGAGGAAGATATTTTTGTTAGATTTTTGTTTTTTTCGTAAATATTTTATGATAATTAAATACTAAAAAATAAAAATAAAAAATATTTTTTATCCAAACAAACAAACAGAATAAACCATCAACTTTTTATGATTTCTTCAAAGACCCAACATGAATATTTTTTTTTTTTTTTTTTTTTTGTATTTAAAGTCACCACAAGTTTCAAGTTTGCACCTTATCCGGACCACCATCTCTTTTTTGATAATTAAAAATAAAATAAATATTCATTATTTACCTAAAAATAAAAAGTAAATAGTCATTGGAATATTTGGTTTGGAGTAGCAGCAAAAAAAGTAGTGACTATATATACGATTTTTATTTTTTAAAAAAAGTAAATATCATTAAATTGCACCAAAAAGGGATTTGAAAAATAAATTATTCTTTTTCACAGCTAATTAAAAGCGGAATCAGCTAATGAATTAATTATTATTTTTTTTTAAAAAAAAAGAAGAATAAGAAATAAATAAACTAACCTGGTAAGCAGAAGAGGCAGTTCCAAACACAAAACCCTTTGGAAAGCTTCCTCTATTCATCTGTGCCAAGCATGTTTGGATCCCAAAAACAACCACAATAGTAAATACCAATGCAATGCTCCTTCTCAACATTGCTTATATATATATATATATATATATATATATTCTAGAGAGAGAGAGAGAGAGAGAGGGGAAATGAGAGGAAGATAGAGAGAGCGAGCTTTTAAGTCTGTGTTGAAGCTAGAACTTATATATATATATATATATATATATATATATATATATATATGTAAGAAACTGGAAGAGTTGAGAACAATATTATGATAATGTGAAATGGGGTTGGGGCAAAAGCAAAAATGGTGGTGAAAGTGGCGGTGACTGATAGAGAGAGAAAGATGTAGAGAGAGAGAATGGTAGTGGACGTAGTAGTTGTAAATTGTAATATGTAATTTGGGGGAAGTCTTGCTTTCACACGCTTTCATACTCTTTTCATGAGCATCGCACCAATTTATTTGATTTTCATTTGGCATTTCATATTGTACCACAACAAGTATATATAACACTGTATATATATATGATTTGATCATTTGCTTTTCTTTTGTTTTTTTTTGGGGGGGGTTTAAATAATTGGCTTGCCTTTTTCTGTCTTTTTGTTTATGTCACTTCCTTTCCACTGTCATTCTTGTTCTCTTAGTTGTTTTCGTTGATTAAACGCCGTTTGTTTTGTTCACAATGATACTCATTCCATTGGCCGACCAATTCCTTTCCTGGATCTCCTCGGAAATTTCAGTCTCGGTACTAGCAATTTTTGACCTTCATCGCCACTGTTATCGCTTGCGTTAAGAATGTCTCCATAGGGAGAATTATTTTATTTATAAATAAACTTAAATTCTTGGACTTTTTACTTCAAAAAATACCTCTTCTTTCCAAAGGTAATTTTAAAAAATTATACCGTTTGTTATAGGAGATGATTAAAGTTATATTATGAATAAATAAAATAAAAAAAGGAGTTTCGAGTCTTATGTATATATAAGAATAAAAACATGGGGAGAAAGTGGAATGTGAGACTGTTTTTCATGGGCAACTGTGTAATCCAATCATTTTCTGGCGTTTAATTTTTAAAAAATAAGAGTGTTGTAGAGCTATGGTGCATTTAAAAGAATGCTAAATTAATATGAAACACAAACACTATTCAAGTTAGAAGTACGAATCAAAAACAAACCTTGAAAAACTTATATTCTGAATCCTTATCAATGCCGCTAAACCCTTGTAATACTTTTCTAAATGCATTTAACGAATATGCAACTATGATGCTATGGAGATTGCCGTAATATTTTATGGATAAGACTTGCCCTACTCACGAGTGAATAGGTCATCTCTAGTCATCGCCAATGTGGTCCAATCATAAATACACAAATATAATGTAATTACAAAATCAGAAAAATGATAAATAAGTACAATAACTTTTTAATGAATAAATTCTTATTCGAGTTCCCCTTGACGTCACAAAGAGTATTTTAATAAGTAAAATTAAATCTTTGAATGAAAATACCTCAACGAAGGTTACCCTTTCTAATTTTCTTATTTTTCATTAATCTAATTTTGTAATTATTGTGCATTTGTAAGTGGACCACATTAGCGGTCAGTAAAAATTACCTATTCATTAATGAATAGACAAGTCTTGTCCATATTTTATTGCAGCTATCTTCACATGAAAAAAAAATTTCCACTTGGTTTTGATTATAAAAGGAATTACATATGTATTTTCACTAGATACATAATGGATGCATTTCCTTGATTTTCTTAATTTAAGCAAATAAGTTTTTTTTTTAAATAAATATAAAATTACATTTTGCCGTTGTGTATATATATGTCAAATATTAGTAAGCAAAAACAAATAGACGTATACACCATATATAATTTCGTTGATGATGTTAACCACTTAACCAATATGTCTTCTTCATTGAAAGAGTTCAAATGTTGGTAGTTACAGTTTTTCTTCCATCGCCATTCTCGCAATGATGAATCTCGGCATGGATACTATTTCTTTAGGTGCACACTTTACATGAATACTCAAGTCAAAACAATAATTAAAACAATAATTAAAACACGTGTGTGTTTTGCCAAACGGTATGACCCGTTTGACAATCATTTATGCTTTATGTTTTTTATTTTTGTTAATATACAATAACGAATCAAAAGTAAAAGCATGAAATATGATTTATAACATTTATCGTCATTTAAATAGTGTTGAATCGTTTTTGAAAAACCGGCCAAAACAAGAAGCAAAAAATTAATGCTTTTGGTTGCTTCAGCACGGCAACAAAATACTATTTAAAAAATAATAATTTTTAAAAAAACATTTTTAATTAGTCATTTAAATTTTCGAACTTGCAAAACTTTTTTACTAAACATGATTTTATGTTTTTATTTCCAAAAATCTTGCAATAAGAGTCTGTTTGGGATTTCTGTTAGAATAATGAAATTATTAATGCTTTTAACAATAAGTCTGCCACAAAATTGCTATCAATAAAAAGTATGTTATGTGTTTGGTGATGAATTTTATAAAATATTTTTTATACTTAAAACGCGTTTAAATTTGTTTGGTATCAATTTTCTTTAAAACACTTATAACAATGTTGCATACTTTGAGTGATTCATTTACATGACATGATTGCTGATTATAAAACTAATTTAAATACACGTTATAGCTAAAAAATATAATTTGTCATTCTACGCCACCTATAGTGTTTGTGTGTGGCTTATTAGATACAATAAGAAACTTCATGTAAACGCACTTTTTTTTATAGGAAATCTTTACTTACTGAACTCACTTTTTTAAATCACCAAATGCATCTAACCACAAATATATATATATTTTTTGAAAGTTACACACTTTTTAGCAGTACAAAAACAATCTTAAAGATAAATATTACATTCGAAATACTGTTTAAAACACTCTAAAATAAATATAGATATATATATATATATATATATTTAAATTAAAATAGAAGTACAAAACAATTGTGATGGCAGAATCGGAAATATATGTTTGTGTGTGGATGTGTGTGTTAATCATTTCCTTCAAGCAAGAATACATTCGATTAGCTAGAGGAGGTGGATGTACATTGCTTTCACGGGAATCTAAAGGATGCCAATGGTGGAGTCATGCCAAGTAGATTATGTTTACGCGTACGCAACATGTTGGATCTAAATATGCTTCAAAAGCTGGACTTATTATTATTATTTTATTATTAACGTCAAAGTTTACTATTATTTAATTGTATTATTGTTCTTAATTTGTTCACGTATGTTTTTTATTTAATTTTTTTTAAAAAAAGAAGGATCATTTTGTAGCTGATATAGACACATATATTCTTGGTTTTTTTGTATTATCATTACTTTTTGGCTTTTTGTGACATGTGAACAAGAACAAGAAAACCAGATAGATTGACAGAGACTTCTTATAATTAGGAGGAATTGACACTTGAGTATGTAACATACACACCAATGATGACAATTACATCGTGCTCTGTGTATCATCGATAACAAATGGGGATTTCTCCACATGAAAAGCTGTAAATTTGTTCAAGAGTGTGTGTATGTGTGTGTGTGTGTGTGTGTGTGCATCTATATATATATTATGCATGATTCATTAGTGAGGCCATATTTGTGTTGTTCATGCGATATGTGTGCCTTTTGCATGACTCGGTTGCCCAAGTGATTTAGTAACCTCGATTCCTCTTGTGATTTTTCTTCACTTGTGAGTGATCTAAAAGTCTTCTACTTTATAACATTGTATTGTTGTAGTAGTGGATCTAACTTGTTACTTAAAGGAGGCAATTGATTACTATAGATTCATCCTATTCAAATCTATGAATAGATCTATGGATATAAGAATTATATTGAATCGAGTTTTCTTAATGAATAGATCTAATAACTTGGACTATAGAATTTAGAGGGATAAAATAGATATAGAAATTGAAAGAATCAATTGGAGCAAGTTCTACCTAAAAGGAAAAAAATTGTTGGAATTGATAAAATCATTTCTATTCAAAAGTGAATGAATCCACCACCATTCATATGATTTTATTATTACTTTTTTTTTTTTTTTTTTGGTTTGAAAGATATTCATATGGTACTTTGATATAACAAAAAATTAGAGGTAAATTGCATTAGCACTCTTGAGATTTTATCCAGTGTCAGATGTGGGTCCATGGCTTTTTTTAACAATGACACCCCTCTGATTTCAAATATCATATTTGCCTCTAATTATTTAATTCAATTAATTTACAATATATCAGTCATATTAATTAACGAAACTCCTCTCATAATTAAACTTATTTCTCTACCCTAATCTTCAACTTTTTTTTTTTTGGTTCATTTTAGAACATAGCCGTTGACACTCCCTCTCTCTCTTCCTAATCTCAGGCATGGCTGCTCTCTCTTCCTAATCTCAGGCATGGCTGCTTTCCCCCCCCCCCCCCCCCCCCCCCCCCTTTTTTTTGTGAGTCTGGGCTAGCCATGGTTGTTTTTATTTTTTTTTCCTACTCTAGTGGTGGTTATGGTAGTGTCTAAGTTAGCGGGGTGTTTCAAAATTTTTATTTTTATTTTTATTTTTTCTATTGTGGTGGTGGTGCTGGTTCTGGTAGCGTCTAGGGGCCATGGTTGTTTTCAAAAAAAAAAAATTTCTTTCCTACTATGGTATTTGGGTGTGGTGGTGGTGGTTATGATAGTATACAGTTATCTAGCTATTTTTTTTTTTTTTAATTATTTGTTATTTTTATGTTGCGATGGTGGTTATGGTGGTTTAAGTATTATTATATATAAATTATATCAAAGAGATAAATAAGTTAGCTTGGTTTATTAAATTTATTTAAGAGATTAAATTTATAATTTCATAATTTAAATGGAGTTGTTGACAAGTTAAAGAGTTAAAAGGTAATTTTATATGGTTTTAAATGTCTAAAAGGGGGTGTCAATGTATATTTTTGAAACCTCAGCGGGTATCAATGTAAAAAAAATCATTGATTGTCCGTTGAGTGACGTTGACCAAAACTTCATGGAGTATCAGTTCAATTTACCCGAAATAAAATAAAATAAAATAAATCACAAAAGAAGTACTTCTTATGTTGCAAGCATACGCTTGCTTGAATTTAACCAATTGAGATATCTAATTGTTAATTATTTATTTATTCTAAATTCGTAGTGGATTCATTTTCTATTTCAGTTTTCTAAGTAGTGTACATTTATACAACCATGGAATTTTTCTAACATGAAGCTTTGTTGTCCAGCATCTTGAGGTACGAGAGTGATGTGAAGAAAAGAACAAAAATGGACCATCTTTTGCTACTTAGTACTTCTTACATTTGAGTAGAAAGCGACTACAAACCCTTCTTAAAATAAATACTAATAATAAAAATATTTGTTTTTCAATGTTGACAGAAAAAGAATAGTAATAAACTAGAAAAGGAAAATGATGTTATCAATTTTAATTATTATACTAATAAATATATATATTTGGGATAAATCATAAAACCTTGCCAATTATAAACTTGAATGACATACACGAATGGGTAGTGTTACGAACAAAAATCCAATGTGGATCCTTTCACATATTCTGTCAGCCACTCAGCCTCAATTTGGTAGAGTGAAAATGAGAGGAAGGGAAGGAAAGGTGATGGAGGGTGACTAAAAAATTGTGTTCGGGTAAAATGGGTGGAAGGAAATGAAAGGAAAGGAAAGAGTTCGGAAGGTTATGTATAGCTTATACCGTGATTTGCTTATTCTCCCAAAAATGGGAGGAAATGGAAAGAAAGGGAAGGCAATGATTGATCTAATATTTGTGATGTTAATTTTACCCTCAAAATAATATATATACAAGTTATAAGCAAGTTAGCAGATGCAGAACTTACCCAAAAAAACAAAAGTTAGCAGTTGCAGACAGAATGGATAGACGGCGGGCAGTGGCTGAAGCTTGGGAACGGCGAACCCGAATTGGAACAGCGGCGATGGAAACTGAAAGATATGGGTTTTGATTTTCTGAACAATCTGAAATGATATACCGATACAGGTTTTGAATTTTTGATTCTTGCAGACAAAAAGATAAACTGAAATATATGGGTTTGGGTTTTGAACTTCTGAATCTTGTAGTGCACAGAGAGAGAGAGGGTAAGTTCAGAGTTGAGAACGATAATAGAGAAGGAGGCGAGATTGGGGAGGCTGAAACGATTTGCACTAAATTTTTCTTTTCTTTTCTTGTGGCCCAGCTGCTGATATAGGAGAACATATATATATATATATATATATATATATATATATATATATATAATAGAGATGGAGGCGAGATTGGGGAGGTGAAATGATTTGCCCTAATTTTTTTTTTTTTTCTTTTCTTGTGCAGGTATAGGATTATATATATATATATATATATAAGGGTATAATAGTTAATTTATTAAAATAATTCCCATTTTTTTCTTTCCCTTTTTTTCTCCAAACATGATTATTACCCTTCACTTTCTTTTCCTTCATTAATCGACCAAACACAATACCAAATTAAAATTATCCTTCCCTTCCCTTTTCCTCATAACTAATGTTATCATTCCCCTTCAAACACACCCTCAGTGTGATTCCTTTCAACAAAAACCTCCCCTAAACGTCATTCTAAGCTAGGAGGCATACCATCATTATTCAATCCTATCATATCTACATATATATTATACATTCATATGTACCATCATTATATAATGATGGTACATATGAATGTATAATATATAATGATGGTATATATGAATGTATAATGATGGTATATATGAATGTATCATATATAATGATGGTATATAGGAATGTATATTATATAATGATGGTCTATATGAATGTATAATATATATGCAGATATGATACGATTGAATAATGATGGTATGTCCCATAGCTTAGAATGACGTTTAGGGGAGGTTATATATATATATATATATATGTGTGTGTGTGTGTGTGTGTGTGGCATAGGATTCAATAATGATGATATAATACATAAACTTCATTGAAATAAATGTTGTCTACCTAATATTTTTTAAAAACGTATTTAAATCATGTTTCAACGCAAAGAACAAATACGTCCAAACACGATTTAGATACGTTGAAACTAAAAAATAATGATGTTTAAAAGAGACTTCAACACAGTTAAAAACGTATTTTAACACATTTATTTTAAATTTTAACACATAATATACTTGTTGGTTTATCATTATTAAAGTTGATTTAATCTGATTATACTCGGGTTAAATTTCAGTTAAAGGTCAAGTTAGACACACTCTTTATTAAAACTAATGTATATCGAGTCAACTCAAGCATGACTTTGAACACCATATCCAAAGGTTAAATCAAAATTGAAATTCAGTTGAAAATGTTCTTTTTTTTTTAAATAATAAAAAATAAACTGTCCAAAAATGGGATTGGACTAGAATTGACCATCTCAAGTTGCAACCTTAAGAATTGTCACCCTCAGCAGTATCTAGCTCAAAAGCCTGAAATGAAGATAAACCGTAATGTGATAATATATTAATTAATTGATTTAAAAAATAGACAAAGTTGGCCAAAGATGAAAAATTAACAAACACAATTCCCAATATTCTCTAATTTTTTATTGTTACGTTTAGAAGTATCAAACTAGTGTTTTGGATTTAAAATCCGAGAAAATTTAGTTCAACAGTTTTCATTCTTAGATTGAAAATCTATTTGGTCGACAGTTTTCTAAGCAGAGTCAGAACAAGACCTAGTTTTACAAATTGACTTTATACATTAACTATATAAATATATATATAAAGGGAACCAAACAGACGATTAAGGATGCATCAATGCTAAGATGTATGCTTGTTTAGCTTGATCACATATGTATCCAAACTGAGATGAAGAAAACATTGTAGTACCAAATCTCTGTGCGCGTGAGAGAGAGAGAGAGAGTTTCGATCTGAAGACATACATATGCATCTAAACTGAGTGATGAAGAAAACATTGTAGTACGAAATCTGTGTGCAAGTGTGAGAGAGGGGAGTTTCCATCTGAAGTCATATTACATTTCTATCCCAGTGTACATTTCAAAACAAACAAATTGAACAAATAAATGGCGCCATTTTTTCTTATAATCTTCTTCCCACTAAAACATAGACTTGCATATTCGAAATTCTTGTATTTTAACCAAAACTATTCAACCTTATCCGGTCGTTTTTGTTGATAGAAGACTACGATGGCAACCAAATCAAGGATCAGCATGGTTATGGATTTTGCCCCGTGATATGAAACCACCACGTGCAACACATCTTTGATTAATTAAAGCTGTGATGTTCAGCATAAGTTTGTAAAGAACACAATTTAACAAGTTATCACGCAACCTCTGAAGGAATCGATGAGGATTTCCTCATTTAGCGATTGACCTGCAAACAGGTAAAAGAAAATCAGAACGAAGTCCTCAATTTATTCAGAAGAACTATATAGAACAGACTAGTATGGTTAGATCTTTTCCTATGAACACTATCTTGTTCATTTGATTTTCTTCTGTCCTCCATTTCCGTGTTGGAACAATCTCATATATCTCTCGCACAGCCTGCCACAAATTAAAAGCATAGATAATAAGTGAACATGATAAAGAGCCAAAAAACTACGGTAAGTATGTAATATGATTACCAAGGCATTATAATGGAAACTGCAATTCACAAAGTCAGGGAATGATCCACATGTGGTCCCTAATAATTGCGAGACCCCAAGACATTGGTTCCAGATGAGTGAACGTGTTAATACAATCATTTATTCTATAAAACCAAACAACTGCACCAACACATGATAAAGAGCCAAAAAATTAGGGTAATTATGCAATATGACTACGAAGGCAATAATGGAAACTGCAATTCACAAAGTCAGGGAATGATCCCCTGTAAACATGCTGCCCTAATAGTTGTCAGAACCCGAGACATTGGTTAGAGATGAGTGAACATGTTAATACAATAGTTTACCTCTTCGAAAACAAGCTGCACCAACACAAGATAAAGAGCCAAAAAACTAGGGTATGTAATATGATTACGAAGGCGTGATAATAGAAACTGCAATTCACGAAGTCAGGGAATGATCCCCTGTACACATGTTGAGCCTAATAATTATCAGACCTGAGACATTGGTTCTGGATGAAGGGTTTGGGATGGCTCCTTTGCAAGTGAAATGGAGGACTCATTATTAACATACAAGTAGTACTATCTGAACAAATGACTAGCGCAAGATGAAGCCATGACTAAAACATCCCCGCCTAGTACAGCTTGAATGAAATCGTTAATAATGTCTGCAAAGTGTAAAGTGGATCCTGAGAGATGGTATCAAAGCCAATCCTCGAAATATGGGAGGAGCGTGCACAACTCCATAAAGGTCATGCTAGCAAGGACGCTGGGTCCCAAGACGGGGTGAATGTGATGTCCCACATCGCCTGGATGGGAGAAGTTGTTGGCACTTGTAAGGGAGGATGTCTTCTACCTGTATAGACACGTTTTAAAACTGTGAGTGCCAAGAGGATGCAAAGCAGACAATATCTGCTTAGTGTGAGGCGGGTCCTGACAGATTGGGACGTCCCACATTACCCTGGGCGAGGTGGGGTGGATCCATCATTTTAACCCAAATGGTGCATACCCCTCATTGAAGGCCAGCCCCGCCAAGCCTATCCTTCTTTCAAATTATAATTCTTAAAAACCTCAACACAAAAAGATAAAATAAAAATTAAACCTAAACTACACATTCAATAAACACATCCTCTAGCACCTAAATGAGATATCTAATTATGATTCAGAGCAATAAAGAAAACTAATATTAGGCTACACAATAACAAATAAAGATGAAATATTAAAGGGACAATAAAATTACTAGTTTTGAGACAACGAGGTGCTCCAGCAGAGTTGGCAATTGGCTGTGCAACCATTCAGGTTTTTATGTTCAGTACCCACCCAGATATATCTTATTTTATCTATATGATACATGAGTATGATACTTGTTCGGTGACTTCGACTATTTATCTTTTCTTTTTTCTTTTTTCATAGTCAAAAATTATAAGCTGGGACCAAAAGTAGGGAGCTTAGACAAAAAAGATTAATGCGCAAATTCAGTAAGGGATGCAAACACATCAGTAAAGGAGGAAATCGGCCAGGTGAGAGCTGGCCTACCACAATATGCAGCTTGAATATAATATTGACACACTCAATCCAGCCTTTAAGTCAATTTATACAAAAATAATATCACACACCAGAGAGATGGATATTATGGCCATCTACGTTAATAGATGTTAATTGTCCAACAAAAGAGCCTAGAAAAAATACTTAAAATCACTTTTATGTGTTGACATTGGGGCACAGATAAGTTCAGGCCATATATTGCAGCCATAGAAGTATTTCCACTCGCAGTTGTTTTTTAATTATGTGGGTTCAGTCATGAGCATGCTTTATAAGATTATCTCAAAAGGTAAATAGAGAAGTCCACTAAATGTACCGATCATATAAGTCCAGCTAGCTAACAATCAAGAAGATAAGAAAGAACAAGGACGGATAAAAATAAAATCCCAAAACAGAATCACAAGGTCTTAAATGCTGGAACACACGCACACACCAGAAAAATAATAATAATAATAATAACAACATACCTTGATAAAGCATTTAATGACATTTTATACAAAAAATACCTGTAGAGTATGAAGCTGATCTGAGTTTGAGACATTTAGAACCCCTTTGCAGCGATAGACATCCATGCTATATTTTTTATCCCAGAGAATCTCCTCAATCCACAAACGAACCTAGAGTGAGAGAGAGAGATAGAGATTAAACGTTTCTCAAACGACTCATATAAACATTCTCTAAGCAAGGAAGAGAATAGCCAAGCAGGAGCACAAAGAAAAGCAAGGAAGATAATGCATAGATGCACGCCATTCTATCAAATTGACCCCTTTAGGTTGTGATTTGTAATTCCTTTGGCTTAATATTTCACACAATTTATGAGAAGCAAAATGTAACTTGATGCAAAGAGGACCACAATTTGTTAGACCCACCCCCCCCCCCCCCCCCCAACCGGGGCAAAACCCATGGTATGTGATTCCCCATTAGCCAGAGGAAAAAAAAAAAAAAAAAAAGAGAATATGCATCTACTATAAGAACATAAAAGTAGGTAAGCAACACAGATGGTACTCTTTGAGTTCACGAAGCTTCTTCTAATATCATCAGTCCGTACAATACAATACAAAATACTTAAAAAGTAAATTTCACAAATAATTTTTTACCATTCATACTATCTAAGTTTTCTGTATATAATCGAATTTAATGATCTGCTGTTTCAACAAGCTGTGAACAAAGGAAAAGGTACATGCCAACAATTTCCTACAGTATGCTCCATCTATAGTTCTCACAAAAGTACCTTATCAAGATCGACCTGACGTGGCTCACAAATGCATAAGGTTCGCACACCACTATCATGAAAATCTTTTGTAGTTAGAGATTTATTTTCTTCCAACAATGCTTCCAAATGAGTGGCATGCTGAAAAATAAAAGAAAAAGAACGTACATCAGTTTTTGCTTAGTAAATGTCATTATGAACTCAGAAAATGTACCTATGGATAATAAATGAAGATGAAGTATGCCTAACTGAAGCATCATAGGCCCGACAGTTTAGTATTTTCAACAAGTCAACTTGACACCGTACGGAACGAATGATATTAACTAGGGAATTGATTTTATGTATGTCTTTCTCCAATTCCTCCAGAACACTTCCGGAATCCTCTGGAGATACCAGATCAACCTTGTTAAGAATCACAACATCCTACAATAAACAAAAAACAACAAAACTTATGAAGATCTTAAAGTTCTCGTGCTAGTCAAGGTATGTTAATATGAACACTTCAAGGAGTGATGAAAGAAACAACGATAACGAGGAAAACCAGGAAGCATGATTGAGATTGACAAAACTGGATAATGACTTCCAAAAATGAATTATGAGAGTAAAACAACGTGACAATTACTGCAAATGCTATTTGTGAAAATGCTTCAGGAAATGAAGACGAATCATGATGTCCCTGGAGCTGGTGACGGAGGTTTTTTGCATCCACAACCTATGCAAAAAAATTCATAAGAAGAAACTAAGAAAAAAAATTAACTTTCATTGTAAAACAAAGACTAACAGCTTTAATGAAGAAAAACATAAGCAAATTAGCCCAAGGCAGAATTTAATCTCGTTTGCTAACTAATATCTACTTCTAGCAAATCATACAAAATAACACTTATGATAACATGAGCCACTGATAAAATAATTAAGGCAATTACAACACTAGAAATGAGCAAGAAATGTGAAAAATAAAACAATACCTAAATACAGATGGCTCATAAACTTAGTTAGATTATTATAGTCTGAAACTCACAGTAATAATAGAGTCGAGCTTGACTTGTGCTTCTAGCTGATCATCCAACCAAAGAACAGATGCTAGAGGCGCAGGATTGGCCAACCCCGTGGTCTCCAACAATATATGATCAAGCCTACAGACACAAAAACAACAATTCTGAAATAATTGATTTATGCTATTCCCAATTGGTATTGGTGTATATTATGCAACTAACCAATCAAATGAAATGCCAAACTGTTCAAAACCGATTAACTTAGCTTCAAGAAGACAAGCAGCAGAGAAATTGTAGGAAGACAATAATTGTAAAACTCGATACTTTCACTCTTTGTGTATGCATTTTGATTTCTTTGTTAGCAGGATAGAGGAATGAATGAAAGGGGTCAAAGAGTAATACGAAAATAATTTTTATAACAAAAATATATAATCTCACTACTTCTCAAAGAAAGTCTATGATGTTTGAAACAGAGCATATATACAACTTAAAAACTAAGACACATGGAGGGGTCTATGTCAAATTACACTTGCACAAAATGACTAGACCCATAAAGGGGTATTTGTGAAATTACTATATAATGCAATAGAAATGAATTCAAAGACTATGAAGAACTAGAGCTCAAGACCTTTCCTTTCTCTGGACAAGTTGCTCCAACGCTTGAACCAGACTGTGCTTCACAGTGCAACAAATGCACCCATTTGCAAGCTCAACCCATTCTTCGACTAGAGCGCCTCCTTCGCCGTCGTTGATCATTGCCCTTTCAACTCCAATCTCCTCACCAAACTCATTCAATATAACAGCTATCCTCTTTCCGTGTTGTGAATTCAGTATATAATTAACAAGCTGAAGTCCACAGTCCAAAAATTAAGGTCATAATCAGCTACAATATGCTAACAACATATACATATATATTTATAACAGCTGTGTTGAGAATTCAAAATATAATTAACAAGCTGAAATTAACAGTCCAAAAATTAAGCTCAGTATCAATCATATGCTAACAATATGTGTGTAAATGTGTTTGTGTCCTTGAACGCTTATTGAGAATGACGAGGATGAACTTATTACAGTGGATTTGCCGGCACCGAGATAGCCTGTGATGACGGTTACGCCGACCGATGAAGCTTCGGCGTTTTGGTGCCGTTGATCAGTCGGTCGTGATAAGTAATGGTCGTCGATTTCAACAGCGAGTGGTGGGCCTTCTTCGTCGTCCTCCATCATCACTATTAACTCTTTCCAAACTTCGATTTCGATTCAAAGCGATACAGAAAACGAAAATTCTCTGAGGAAGGTAGGGTTCATATATTGAAATTACATGTTTGTCCCGTATGTCTACAGATGGCAATTGGGCTGTTTGGGGGCAGGATATCATTCATCATCATTGTTTAATTTTTTCACCCCCTTACTTGCTCAAAACCCACTGGATTTTCAAAGCAGTCCCAAAGTCGTTCCAAACGGGATCGCGGCCCAACGGGAGTAATTTTGCCATCCTTATAATATATAAGGGTAATTTAATAAATTTATAATACATTCGGCGCGGAACAACTCTCTCCGAAATCGCCCCGAAACCCATCGAAATTTTTTAAAAGCAGTTTCCATTCACGTCCCATTTACATAATCAGCTCCCCAAACGGAGCGGGCCAGTCGGGTAGGAATCTTTGCCATAGCTATGCTATTTCTGTTTGTGGGTCATCATGAAATAGGCCAATTCGTATTGGGCTGGGCCGGCATTGGTACTATTACTGAACTCCTTGATATCTAGGCCAGTCCATATGTGAGTACAGTCATAATCATAATGTGAAAGTTAATCCAGGCTCATGCATTAGCACCATAGCATTGTGTTGTATCGTTATTCTTATTAGTATTTTATGCATGACCCGCCCGTCCTCCTTTTCTTCTTCTTCAATTGATATCTTGAAACCCTAGTGTGTATATATATATACGTGCGTATATATATTCTTCTAAGATTCTATCTTCTTCAACAAACTACCACAACGAACTAGCTGTAATTGCTTTCCCGAACCAATAGCTTTTATCTTTCCTAGCCCCCAAAAGTTTGATGCTAATGTGCCAAATTGAAGAATCGCGTAACAGAATTTGCCATCAACAACAATCGTTGAAGGAATTTTGTGTTGTAAGCTTGTCGATCTCACCTGGGGTTTCACTTCCAGGTAACCAAAACTACCCTACTCCGTCAGTGATCTGATCACATGTATTATGTATATTAAACTTTGCATCACATGTTGCATACATCACCATTGGGCAATTAGGGTTTATAATATTGCTAAACTACGACCAAAAATCAAATCTTTGATTTCATATTAATCGAATGAACAACAAAGCTCTCTTTGGTCATATTTTTTAAATGGAAAATAGCTTCTGGAATATATATATAATGATTTTAGAAAGTAGAAAATAGCTCCTGGAATTTTAGTTTGGGTTCAATCAGGAAATTGATGGGGGCATTGATGGTCAACGTTTTCCCAACCATTGTAGTTTTTCAGAATTGACCAAAGTTCGGTGGATCATGATGGGTCGTGAGGATCTTGGTCAATGCTCACTTAATGTGCCTACTATCTTTTGCTGTTCCATTTTTCAATTAAACACAAGTTTGTGTTCCATGGATATGGTTTTGTTTTAGTGAGAGGGATCAGTTATTCCAAGCACTAGTGATGTACTGCAGACTGTATCTGCAGCATTTCACGTTTCACATAATTCACACTATGAACAATCAAATGTGTGAATGAGTGATGTAAACCTTTGAATGCTGTACAACACAAGAATACTAATAACTCTTAAAAAACAAAAGAATAATGACACACTTGAAGAGATTCTTGATTTAAAGAATTTAAATTGGTTAGAAATTTTAATAAATGAAGTTCACATAGCCTTCTTTATGTGAATTCCTTCTTCAACAGTTGGAGAAAAGAAAACTCCGGTTGTTGATCAAACCAATAGGAAAGAAAAATTTGTAATAGATTATAAGAAAAAGGTAGGGGGCCTCAAAAGTTTCTATAATTTTGGCTTTGAAATAAAGTGAAATAGTATATTTAGGTCTGTTGGCAATCCCAATTGTTGCATTTATATCTACTGAAAAGAGTTAAAGTTGTTCCTTGCTACCGAGCCAAAAAATTTGAACTCAAATCAAATGGAGGTCATACCAATGGCATTGCAATTTAACCTACCATAAAATAGGAGTTGGTGGAATTGTTCTAAAATACAAACATTTTGTGGGTTCAGTTTAATTAGGTGGGCCAGCTAGAATAGATCAATATTGTCCACAAATCCGTATTTCTTCATTGAAATGTAGTCAACAATGGAAAATAGCTCCTGGATTTTTTTATTTTTTATTTCCTAGAATACGTTGTGAAGATATATATATATATATATATATATATATATATATATATATATTTAATGATTTTAAATTTTAAATTTTAAATTTTTTTATGACCCTTCCGTTCATTTTGAGTTTGCCTTTTGTAGTTCCAGTATGTGGTAGCCTTCAATTTTTAAGCTGCAAAGCATGGTCGCTAATTGTTTTTTCGACTTAATTTCACTTCTAGTATTGCATTAGAATTTGTTTTAGGTTGAATCCCATTTGAACTATGGCCAATCGGGAAGGAATTTGAGATGCTCGAAAGAAAAGGGTGAAGGTCGGTTTTGTTTATAGGCTGTCCCAACTGATTGGGGCAGCTATTTTTGCAAGGGATTTTGAATTTTGAGACTGGAATTTCTAGAAATTGCCCCTGCCAGTGGCATAATTTGCTTGGCCCCTGTCCACAAGTTCAATATTGGACTGCCTGCTTTTCTCAATTGCCCCCCAATGAAACTTACCAACCCACTCAACAAGGTCCGTTGGAGTCAAGTCATGAAACATAGTAACCTCACTCGTATCTGTTTCGTCTCTTAAATGCATTTTATGATGCCCCATATTCATTGAGATTTTACATATTTTGGTTTACAATTCTGAGTGTGGCCATTAAACAAAGTGGAATTTAAGGGATATATAAAAGCAATGAGTCCATTAAGTCTATTAGAACCCAAAGCTGTTTTTGCCTGTAGCTTATTGTGTTAATGCTTATTATTTTCTAAAAATTTTGGATTTGCTTGGGGTATTCATTTAAACTTGATTACTTGTTTAGCTTGGGGAATTCATTTATGTTGTTGCATTCTTCCACTGACTGCTTGATGTAAATTCTATATATGCTGACAAACTTGGTTGGAGAATTCGTTGTTTACCTTACCCACAAAAGAAAGAGAAGAAAAAGGGGAATCCATTGTCCATTAAATGTCTTATAATTACTAATTGTTTATTAGTTACACATTGTGTCATGTTCTTTGACACATGTCTGGACTAATCATTTTGGATTATAAATGAACTTTGATAATTTGTCTCCGATCATATGAAATAATATGAAATCATCACCTTATTTGGTTACTATTAGTCTAGGGTACTGAGAAGGGTAGATCGAATTTGTTCAAAATTAGTAGAATTTATAGAATACGATTGTGAAGTGTATAAGGAAGAAGTGTTGTATTTATTAAACACGTGCATATATAGCTATCTAGATATCCGTCTTCTCCTTTATTGCTGCTCTTTTCAGGACAACATGTGTCACGCCCCGCTCCTCAAGGCACGTGAGCTAACCACCATTCATAAAATATACCAACATCAGTTCAAACCATTACATACCTCCCTACTCACATTCACTTCAAAAACCATCCAAGAGTAAATCAAAATTTAACTTCACTAAATAACTTACCAACCCTTGTTCCTCTGTCTTAACTTTACTTCTTGAAGCCTTCTCTCTAGCTAAAATCCTGAAAAATGTTTTATAAGAAAAATAGGGTGAGCTACACGAGCCCAGTAGGTTCCCGGGATTTACTAAAAAAACTATAACCTTTTTAGTAGAAAACAAATTTCTTTGAACCATTGAAAGAAAATAGCATTTTAACATTCTTTTAGAAAAAGGAACTGAACAATGGGATTAAGGAGCTGAATCTAGGTAGAAAATAATAATATTTATAATTGAACAAATATAATTTTAAACTACAAACTTTTAGATCACCAATTTCAACTCAAAAGAATAAATACACAAATAATCCATTCCAAATGGCAAATCAGCGGATATCATCAATGCAATAACTGGTCCAACAATGTGTACCCTATGCTTGTTCAGAGACCTTCCCCCCGGGACCGCCGCCTCCGTCTTTCGGCTTTATGGGGGTCTCACCCAGGGACCGTGAACACCCCCTCATTAAACCCGGGTCATTTAAGGTATTTCAACCTAAGGGAGTTTCTTACCCTACGTATTTCATGCCAGGCACATACACAATTGAGGGACCAAAGCCAAATAACAATGTAGATAACCATATATCATTTGCATTCCACAAACTATTTTTCATCCACAGCCATAGCTCATACTAGAAAATTAATTGAAAATCAAGTACTTCATATCAAATGATGAAATAAATTTATGGAGAAACCATTAAATGTCTATTTTCATCTTCCAAACTTTCTTTCTCAAATAAAAATAGGTAGGATCTAAAATTACACAAAGACACTGCTGGTCCGAATAGTTTCACCAAAAACAACTCATCTTTAAATATTTATACAAAATAAAATATTTGCTCAAATGACACGAGACGAGACTGAAGGCATTAGAAAGCTAAATTACCATAGTTTATTATTATTAAATTTATTCTATAAGTATACTCGCAGAGCAGGTCAGTATCGAAGAAAAAAAAAAAACAGTATTATAATTCTGTCCAGAATTTCAGTTCCACAGCAGTTCTCACAACTTCTTCAAAAATTTCTAACAAATAAAATTCTCAACATTTTAAAGTCAAATCAAAACCCGGAAGCTCTTTAACTAGTGTAATTTAATACCTCAAAATTTCAAATATAAATAACAAGTCAAAATATATTTTCAGCTCTAAACCTTCAGTTCAAATTTTTTTTTTTTTTTTCAGCACAGGAAACCAATATGAGGTCTAATGATTCACAATCATTTTCATGCTAAATAAAACAATTTGAAAATCTAATCCCATAGTTTGCATGTGAGGAAACAAGTTTATAAAATTTTCTAACATTTTAACAGTAGAAACAACAAAATTTTCAACAATTCTTTTCCTCTTTTCTTCTTTAGTCTTCTTCTCTCCTCAAAATCGCCACTTTTAAGAAACCTTTGAACTGTAAGAGCAACTCCAAACAGCCCTCATGCCCTGGAACCAAACAATCCACAACCTGTCCTTACCTTGTACGAACTCGCAGAGAAGTTGGCCAAGTCAGGTCTTTGCTATATACTTCCTTTTTCTTCTCTCTTATTCTTCCTCTCTCTTTCGTTTGGACCGAGAGCTTCTGTTCTCTCCCCTGTTCCCCTATATTTTCTACCAATATCTACTAGTACGATACTCTAGAACTATATAGAAAGCTTCCTTTAGAAGCTGGAGTTACTATTATAAAATATAACTATAGATACAGGTGTTTCTAATGTGGGGTTTAGAGATCCTCCACTTGCTTTTGATGTGACACGTGCATCCCTTCTTCTTCTTTTTTCTTTTTTTTTTTTTTGCTAATATCTCTATATATTATCTTACCTAATAGCCTCATCAGGTCAAGTGATTCCAGAGAATTCTTTTGATAACTTTTGCTGAGCTAATAGTTCCATATTGTACTATACAAACATGAATCTAGCTGTCCATGCCAAGACCTTCTCACTTTAATTTGTTCAGTCCAAATGAGTGTATGGGTCAAACATGTGGACAGGTTATCCTAGTGTTGGCACATCAAATACAGTCATGCAGTAATACATGCATACTCACACTCCCACTTATATTCTACAACAAGGCTCCACGATACCCAGCATTAAATAATCATCACCATCACTCACCAAAGAACCTTGTGGGTATTACAACACGGGTCATGCTCTATCAAATATTTGATTTTCTGGAATCAGGATCAGGGAGAGCAGCTAACCTCGGTTGTTAATCTGGAGATTCCTAAGAATCTTAGTACCCGGAGATTCGTTATAATTTATAATAGAGGGTGTGCCCAATATTCGATAGAAGAAGACGACCAACCACAGAGGTTCCTTCGGGGTGACCCATCAACACATCTTTCGTGTTAGTCATCTTTCTCATTCTTATTGATAAGCTTGTCTGCCTGTAAGTCTTATCTAACCTTAGTTTAGCATCATCCTCATTTTACTAAATGACTTGGGTCTATGTCAACTAAAAGGGCGAAAGGGGCTACATTAGCAAAGGATACTAAAACACCATAGGTGAAAAGAGTGATGGGATCATGAGAGAGTAGATGAAACTACTAAGAAAAGTGACAAGGAAAAACAATCAGCCTAAGTTTTGCTTTTCGTTACCCACCCTCAAGAGCACTCTAGAGATTGGCAGATTACCTACTAAACAGGTGAGAATTCCTAAATGCTACTTAATTTTTCAAGCCTTTGTCATTATTTTCACATTAGCTGCCATTAGTCTTGAACCCGCATTCTCATGCTTGGAAGTCCAAAAGCTTTTACCATTAGACGAAGCTAATCATCTCAAATCATTTAGCAAATCAAAAGTAGAGGTATCACCATTATGGACTTCTGTGTGAAGAAATTATAGATGCATATGATATGACATCTTCTTAAATAGGTGACAGGAATTAAAGGTATCGCATTTTAATGGAATATGGTGTAAAGAAAGTAGAGATGCATATAGTGTGGCATCATTTTGTACAGGTGACAGAAAATATAGGTATCACTATTACCGAATATGGTGTAACGAAATCAGAGATGCATGTAATATGTCATCTTCTTGTATAGGTGACAGAAATTAAAGGTACCACTATTAGTTTATACTGTATGGATAAATTTGAATCAGGTGACTTCAACTGTTATAAATTCTGGCTTAGACTAAAAGTTTAGTCTACATCCCAATGAAACAGAGAACAAGAAAATTAAGCTCTTTTATTATTATTATTATTATTATTATTATCTGATTAATCAAATCTATCGGCACGATTACAAATTCTTGGAAAAAAGTGAAAAAAAAAAAAAAAAAAAAAAAAAAAGGGTACTTGCGCGCCAAGAAAAGTGCAATATGTCATGTGCTCCCAGTTGGGTACAAACCCTTTTTCTGTTTTTAGCACTCACTGGTCCGATCATATCTCCATAAATTGTTTGTTTCTCATGTCCTGATTAATGAACTCTTTCACTGAGAAGAATTTTTTTGTTTTTGTTTTTTGACAAGTCTGTGTTGTGTAAATTTGAGCTGTTTATGTCGTGAAATCGTGATTATGGTGAAATTTGTCAATTCGTTGGTAGTTATGCTTTGGTTCAGGTGTTGATTTAATTTTCCAATCTTCAGTTTGGAATTGTTTGAGGAATATGGTTATATTGATGTGTTATAGACTATAGCATACAAGATGTGCATATGATAGCGGGGGAGAAAAATTAAAAGAGGTTAAAGGGTACAGAGGAAAGGCAACCAACAAGTTGCCACACACTTCTTTACATTAGAGCAACTAGATGTCAAGATGGGAAAAGCAATGAAATTCCAACAAATCCACCAAGTTCTCAAATAAATAAATAAAATCATTTTTCTCTCATTTCAAATGCCCTAAATGTATGGTGGTGCATCTGGAAGAAGAGAAATAGCAGAATGTTCGAAGGGAAAGAGTCGCCTACGGCAATGGTCAAACTTTACATTCTTCGCTCTCTTTTCAATTATGTGAAGAGAAGTTTATGTTCTTCTTCGGATGATTTAATTACTTTCTTGGATTCGTTGGGGCCTTAGTCCTGGTCCCACTCTTGTAATTGGGACGCTTTCCCTTTTTGAACGCCTTTTCTTATATTATTTTTACTTATCAAAAAAAAAAAGTTTTCCCCCTTACTAATTCGTGCCTTTTGTTTTGTATTATGCATCATCACATTTTCTAAATCTTGATGACCATGAGAAATGTATTAGATTGACATCTATTAAGCTTCAATTTTCTTTCATTAAACAAGGGCTGTAACGTGAAGTTACAGATTTGCATTTATCTTTAATTTCAAATCCTGCCGTCTACCTTGAAAATAAAGTAGCTTTTAAATAGTCATACATGATACTTGTTATTATATATTTATATGTATATATTTTTGGTTAATTCTAATCAGGAAAGTAAAGAGCATCGGAGAGACTCAAAAACCAATTGTGACTTTCTGTGAATGGCATTGGTTGTAATCTGTGGGCAACCATGCAGTGCGAAGTCAACAGCTGCAGTCCGCTTATTGGAAACTCTTGAAGACTTGGAACCCAAACCAACAGTCAGGATCATTGATGAAGCTTCGTTTCATCTTGATCGCAACCACAATTATGCTGACATGACAGCTGAGAAGAATTTAAGAGGGGTGCTTAGGTCTGAAGTTGATAGATCCTTATCAAAAGATAATATCATTATAGTAGATTCCTTAAACAGCATCAAGGGTTATAGATATGAGTTATGGTGTTTAGCTCGTGCTGCTGGGATAAGATATTGTGTCCTTTATTGTGATGTTGATGAGATCCATTGTAGAAAATGGAATGAAGAACGCAGGGAGAAGAAGGGGGAAACGTCATATGATGATAAAATATTTGAAGATTTGGTGAGAAGGTTCGAGAAACCAGACAGAAGAAATAGATGGGATTCTCCTTTGTTTGAGTTATGGCCATCTAAAGATGGAATAGATAAGAGCAATGCAGCCATTCTGGATGCTGTTTTGTACTTAACGAAAAAAGTGGACTCGAAAACAAAGGATGTTAGAGTTCTGCAGCCTACAATTGCAACACAATCTGCACGGTTTTCTGAGGCAAATTCCCTTTATGAGATGGACAGAGCGACACAAGAAGTTATTAATGCTATAATGGAAGCACAAACCCAGTCAACTGGGGGGCCTGTGAATGGAGTTACTCTTGGCCAGGGACTACCAACTATCGATATTTCAAGAACCATTGGGCTGCCAGAGCTACGAAGGCTGCGAAGAACTTTCATCAAATTGACAGGGCAGTCAAGCTTGAGTGGCCCACCACCGCCGTCTGATGCAGAGAGTGCAAAGAGGATGTTTGTGGATTACTTGAACAGAGAACTAGAAACTGCTTGAAGAGGCTCCAGGTGATATTAGATTAATGAAAGCCCAAGTGGGGTGTCTTCAATTTGGTATGTTTGTGCTAATGAATAGATTATTTATTGCATCACTAGGAAAATATGGAAATTGTTATTTTCACACACACAATGGATGTCATTTTGGCTGTGGTGGGAACAGCAGCTCCAGAAAATTGATGGTTAGAAGAAACAGAATGCTAGTGGTCGTATTTGTATTCTTTTTTTCAACATTATTAATTCATCATAATGTCTGTTTGTTCTTTTCTTCTAGATTTTCCAATTTAAGAATTTTCTCCATTGAATAGTTCTCGAGTCAAAGTTTAATAACTGTGAAAGCAACCACTACGTACTTGTTAATTAGATTGGAATACGATCATCCAGCGTTTGGCTGTGCTTGTTGTGGTGGTGGGACCCACTGAATGGATGGTTCAACAGTCGGGAAACTCCGAAAATACCTTTTTTGGCCCGAAAATTCTCTAAATAGGACTATGCGTCTGCTCTGCTTTCAAAAAGTTTTCTCTTCTATGAGAATTGTGATTGGCAATCCCCTCGTCAAATATGCCGGCGAACCTCTTCTCGCGCACACACGAAACGCATGTCTAAAGTTCTACTGTTGGGGTAGTCGTCTTCAACCAATCGATTTCTCTTTTGGGACAGTATGTGACAGGTAGAAAAGAAAACCCCTTCTGTGTACTGATGCATGTGAAAGCATATCATGCTGAGGGGGTATGAGTTTCATTGGGAAAAAGTAGGGACAAGGGCAAAAAAAAAAAAAACACCTTTAAAGTATACTTTACTTAATATTTTTATCCTTGTTTGAAAAAGTGTGCAAAAAATATTTCTAATTTTTTCATATTGTGCAAAAATAATCCTCAATCATAAATCGGACATAAATTGGTGTTATAATATCGATTTTGCCTTTTTATTCTTCAAAAAATTAGTGTTGTAATACATGTGAAAGCATATTATGCTGAGGTGGTATGACTTTCATTGGGAGTATTACCTCTAAAAGTAGGGACAAGTGCAAAAAAACACATTTAAAGTATACTTTACGTAACACTTTTATCTTTGTTTAAAAAAGTGTGTAAAAAATACTTCTAATTTTTTCACATTGTGCAAAAATACTCTTCAATCAAAAATCTGACATAAATTAGTGTTGTAATACTGGTTTTACCTTTTTATTCTTCCAAAAATGCCTAAAAAAGTGCTACTAATCTCGTAGTACAGGGGGTGTTAGGGTGTTATGCACGCTACTTTTTTATTCTTTATTTTATTTTTTTTGTTAAACAAAAATAATAATAATATCTCAATATCAATGTGTAGTGTTTTCAGAGTTTGGAGCAAATTTATTTTATTTAGTTTGAACTTTATTTTCTATTTTTATCTTTACTTTTCTTATATATTTATATTTATATTTTCTATTTTTATATTTACTTGTCCATTGTCGTCTTCCAATAGTGTCCTTTTCGGTCATTTTACCCCACTCCTAATTTTTTTACATTGTGCAAAAATACCCCTTAATCGAAAATTTGACATAAATTAGTGTTGCAATACCCGTTTTGTCTTTTTATTCTTTCGAAAATGCCTAAAAGGATATATATGTTACTAATCTCATAGTATAGGGATGTTATGCGCACGTTACTTTTTTTATTTTCTTTATTATTATTATTTTTTTTTTTGCACCAATACTATTAAAATATATATAGATATATATATCTCAACATCAATGTGCAATTTCAGAGTTTGGAGCAAATTTGTTTTATTTAGTTTGTACTTTATTTTTGTTTTTTATTTTTCTAATTTTATCTTTACTTTTATTTTTATTTTTTATTTTTTATTTTTATCTTTACTTGTCCTTTGTCGGCATCCTCCAATAGTGTCATTTTCGGCCATTTTACAAAATTATTTATTTTTATATATATTTATAAAATGTTTTAATAAGGATAATTTAGTCAACTTATGGTTTAAATTTGTCAAAGGGACCTATTTGTACTAAATTGAAACTTTGAGAATGTTTTATGTACGTGAGGGTGTCTTCTAATTAATAGTGTCATTTTCGATCATTTTATAAAATTATTTATTTTTATATACTTTATAAAATGGTTCAATAAGAATAATTTAGTCAATTATTTGTACCAAATTAAAATTTTAGGAATAATTTTTGTAAGAAAGGAATGGAATATGCAATATAATACAATATAAACATATTTTATGGATATTTTCTAACACGTGGGTCGCACCGTAATCAATGGGATTTGATATTTGTAATGCAGCTTATATATGCGCGTGTTTATATATATATATATATATATGAGCAGCTCCAAGGTAATATAGCCTAATAACATAGTGTCACCTTCACTGTATAGCCTAATAACATAGCCTCACCTTCACTGATTTGTTTTTTGGAAAGTTACCACAAATATATATATACACATATATGTGCGTGCATGATTTGGTACAGCTATTGTTTATATTGTTGCCCTGCACGGTGAGCTGGCATCGCACCACATGCCACACTTTAGCATATACGTGAGATTGTAAGTTTTTTCAACGAGAATGTTTGGCTGTTTAGAGTGCTAAACCACCTCATGCATGCCTCATCCCGCTATCTCACTACAATATATATATATATATATATATATATATATATATATATTCTCAACCTACTACTACCATATATTAACGTATTCTCTTTTCCTAAATAAGTAATCAATCAAGTTGGGTTGGTTTGTTAATTACGCGCCAACAACATCATTAGTGTGATGTTCATTATTTAGCAACTCCTCTCTAATCATAATTCATTGCCTACCTTTCACTCAAACCTCTATTTTCCATCTCTCAATCAGTCAATCAATTTCATTTTTCTCTATATGACTAGTCTGTGTCAATTTTTTAATAAAATATAGTTAGTCCTAACTTTTAACGAAAAAGCTGTGGATGTACTAAAGCCACGTCACATACTCGTCATCTAAGTAGCCCCCACAAATCATTACTCCAAAGTAGGAAAGACAAAATCATAATAAATTCAAAGGCTGGGGCGAGGAGCATAACGTCCCAACCACGAATTATCGATCGACGGGTTCAGAATCTCGATACGACCCAACCATGAATCGTTGATTGAAGGACCCAGAACCTAGATCCGATCATGAATCGTCAATCAACGAGCGCAAAACCTCGATACGACCCAGCCAGGAATCATCGATCGAAGGACCCAGAACCTAGATCCGATCAGGAATCGTCGGTCGAAGGGCCCAGAACCTCGATCCGACTCAACCACGAATCATCGGTCGAAGGGCCCAGAACCTCGATCCGACACAATCATGAATCGTCGATCGACGGACCCAGAACCCCAATCCGATCAACCATAAAATCGTTGATCGACGAACCTAGAACCTCGATTCAACCTGATCATGAATCGTCGATCAACGGGCCTAGAATCTCGATCCGACCTGACTAAGAAACGTCGATCGATGGGCCTAGAACCTCGATCCGACCTGACCACGAAACTTTGATCGACGGGTCTAGAACCTCGATCCGATCCAACCACAGATTAACGGGTCAATCGACGACCCTAGGACCTCGAACTGTAATACCCCTAATTTTAAAAGGATAGTCTCGGTATTTATTTATTTATTTTAATTATTTAATTGATTATTTGACTAATTGTTTATATATTTAATTGAATTAGGTATTACTTGATTATTTGATTATGTATCTATGTATTATTTGTATTTGTCTATGTGTTAATTGTTTAATTAGATTACGTACTTAAATGGTATTTTGATTAATTGTAAATTAAATGTTTTCTTTTATTTTATTATTTTATTTTATTTTTCTTTTATGGTTATGGTTAGTGGTAATTGGCCAACCAATTGGGTCCCATGGACTACTTGGATAGGAGGTTGGATGTGTATGGATTATTACCCATGAATAGTTGTGTATGTATATATATAGATATATATTATATACATATATAAAAAGGAAAGTAATTTATTAATTACTTTTATAGTAACTTGGGTAGTAATATTTAATCTGATGCATATGTTTTATATTTAAATGATAAAAATATACATAGATTTGATACGTGTTATGTTTTAAGTTACTTTATAATATTATGGTAATTTAAGTATTATTGGATAATCCATTAATAAATAATGGGATGTGTATAATTTATTTATTTAATAAAGATATACATAAATTATATACGTAACATATTTTACTTACCTTTTTAATATTTTAATATTTATTTATTATTATTTTTTTTTAAGTTGACTTGGATTGGGAAAAGGGTTAGGGTTATTTTATTTAGCCTATAAATATATAGCTATAGGTTGTAAAAGGGGATAGAAATATTCACGTGATATATTCTAGAGAGAGAGTTAGAGAGGGAATGAGGAAAATGAAGGAAAGAGGAAAAAAACCCTGTAGAGAGAAGATTAAGGAAGAAGAAGTTTAACTTTCGATCCGAAAGTTAAACTTCTTCTTCCTTAATCTTCTCTCTACAGGGTTTTTTTCCTATTTCCTTCATTTTCCTCATTGAGAGAGAGTTAGAGAGGGAATGAGGAAAATGAAGGAAAGAGGAAAAAAACCCTGTAGAGAGAAGATTAAGGAAGAAGAAGTTTAACTTTCGATCCGAAAGTTTAAGGCAAGTTCTTCTTCTATCTCTTTCCATTTGATTCGTATTTCTATGCATGCCTAGGAAATTCCAGGATTTATTAAACACATAAAATTAAATAATTATGCATGTTTAATTTGATTAGAACATAGGTTTTATGAAATTGGTTCATATCTGCTCTTGTGTTATGAATTGATAAATGATTGATTTTGATTTGATTTCCGGTGTGAATTTTTATATGTTTACATTATGTATTTGTTTCATATTTGTGGAATGATGGAACGTAGAAACATGCCTAGGATTCCTGAACATTAAATAGGAACTAGGTTTGGGTTTAAATAAATTTAAATAGACTCAATCATAATGATACTTGCTATTTGAATGTTTTAAACAAACGAATGAATTTAATCTTTTAATATGTTTAAGCAATTGAGATTAAATGTGTAGGATTAATTGGATACGGAGAATGCTTATTTGATGGTATAATAAAATATCATCATGTATAAGATTCAGTTTGTGTAGGACATGTGATATAGGAAGCTTAAATAAATAATAAGTCATTCCTATTTTGTGATAACTTGATATCATATTATCATAGTTATTTCTGGATTATTTGATGTATTTCCTTAATCGTTACGTCAATTGTTATATTATGTGGTTTAATGCACCGGTATGGGACGGTGGCATTCTAGGGACGGATTAACTTATCAGTTAAATCCTACCTATTTTATATAAGGGAATGGATTAACTAAAATGTTAAGTCCTACTTATATTCAAGTCAGATCAGCTGAATAAGTTGAATGACTTATGGAGGATTAATTTATTATATAAGGGAATGGATTAACTAAAATGTTAAGTCCTACTTATATTCAAGTCAGGTCAGCTGAACAAGTTGAATGACTTATGGAGAATTAATTTATACTAGATATGATGGTTACTAAAATATATATATATATATATAAGTATGGTGCCATGATATGAGCTTGAATTTTAGGATTAGTGGTTAGAGTGTGTATATTGCCAGGGATGTGTAGCTAGATATAGTGTAGTTGTATACCCTGGTAAGTCTAGGTACTCATGCCCACTATATGTGCGTTTTGCGTGTTGCCTATTATTCAGGTTGAGACAACCCTGTAGTTTAGTGAAGTTCCTTTAGCGTGTGTGTATATATATATATACGGACTACTACTTACTGTTGGATTGACTAGGATGTATACGTGTATCGGATCTCTGCTTGGACTGTAGTAGAGTAGAACTTGTTTGTGGGCCTGACCCACCATTATTTTTCAGGTGTTCGTCAAGAGTAGAGGTTATTCGTGCTGAGCGAGGATCAATCTACTTCATTCTTCCGATGCTACATAGGAGTTCCTTTATGATTCAGTTTCCTGATTTAGACAGTTATTGCTGTCATTTGTTTAATTTGGATTTTCTAGGAGTCCACACAGTATGGATTCCCGAGTTGTATTTTGGAGGATCAGTTGTATCAGAAGAGTTTATTAACTAATGGAAATATATTCTGAGGTTTACTATTAGATTATCACTTTAGTTTCTTGTCAGCATTTTATTTATTCTTCTTTATTCTTTTGTACTCTGTATTCGTTTATCATCAATTTGTTTTGATATCCTTGGGAATTCGGGCGTGGCCCTGGCCAACCCGCATTCGGAAATCCGAGGGTATCACACGAGCTGATCTGATTACGAATCATCGATTGATGGCCCTAAAATTATCTAAACATAACCAGAACGAAGTATAAATGGTAAGACTTCGTTATCGAGGGGAATACAGAAGGGACTTTGGAATGGACAATAGAAAACTAGTCAAGTCTTGCAAAGCAAGACCCAAGTTGAGGATCAAAGTGAGAAATAGCCGGAGTATGTATCGCTGCCGTTAGGCCTGATCTTACCTGGGTCATTTAAGGGGAACGTTACACTTATTAAGTGGGTCCTGAAGAATAGGAATTAGGGCAGCTTGATCTTAATGATTACGAGAGCCCTACCCTGTTTAGAAGGAGGCCCAATCAGTGCTAATAAATTCCCCTTCAGTAACCTTAGGCTATAAAAGGAAGGAACATGAAAAGGTCAAGGGACGGACTACACAGACTATCGACTTTGGGCATTATTTCTCCTACCATCACTTCAATCCCAACTTCGGTGACTAACTTTCTCTCCCTTCTATAGCTCTTCTGCTTTTTTCGCATTGCCTTGAGTGATATACCCCAGAAATTGACTTTTCAACGGTGTCCTCGGACCCTCATACCTACAAAAGTCTAATCATTTAATTCAAGAACTATGATAGGTTGTTTTTATATCATTTAGAAAGCACAAAAGCCAAGCCAGGAGGCCGTATAGAGGCATAAACTAAGACAAATAAAGACATACAAATCATGAAGCAATACAATAAAATGAAGAACCGGCTCCAGATTTGTTGAGAAAGAGTCACCGCTCCAGAATAGAAACCACCAAGGGAGAAGAACAGCAAATTGGAGTGACCAAATGTCTGGCCATCATCAAGACAACAACTCCAAAACTGCATCCACAAGGCGCCTCCACAATTGTATTTTCCTTTTTGAATAGTGATACTTACATCAATTTATTATAGTGGATTACCTAATCAAATGTTTATAATTGATTATTTATGCATAATACAAGTAAATGAAGAATCACACTTTCTTATTTATTGTATAAATAACCAATTAAAAAAGTAACTCTGACAATTCACTAAAACTCATTTTTCTTTCCAAATCTCCATAATCACAAAATATAAACAACACAAGCTCCATTGTGATTAATTTGCTTTACTTAATTATAAAAGCATAGCAATATATATATATATATATATATTTACTTTTAATTATTTTTTATAAACTTATACAGTTATATTAACTACACAATTAAAAAAGTCTACAAGTTAAAAAAGATATATTATTTTCTTAGACAGAAAAAATTTAGGCACTCATTTGTTCCTAAGGAGACTTGAATTAGTGATAAATTATTATGAATAAGTTTCACATAATTATAAAAAAACATAGAAATATTTTCTTATTTTATTTTTTTTTTCCAATTATTTTTTATTAAATTTTACAGTTATTAATAACTACTACAAAACTTTAAAAAAAAATCTTTGGCCCTATAAGTAATTATTTATTGAAAAAGATGGCTATGTAATTTAGTGCCCGCACCAAGAAAACTCATGCGTCACAATATTAATGGTCTACATCTACTTAACGTGGAGGATTTATTCAGAGGGTGACGTTGAAAAGTCAACCATATCCTCCATTTTTCAACGGAAAAGGCCACAAATTCTTTGCTCGACTAAATCACAACCATCAATCTCAACGAGCGTCTCGATTTATTCTGTCAAGCACAAATGTCACAGCAACAGTCACTCTATCATTACCCCTCAGTGGGTTTTAGCTTTTTGGTAGGCGTAAAATGCAAATCAAAATAAATGCTAAAACCTTAAATAGCACACAATTATTCCTCTTTTATAGGTAGTAAATTTAGTTAATATAATTTTTTTATTTATGTTTGGAAAAAAGTAATTTTGTTTGTTTGTTTTTCTAAAATTGCGAGCCTTTGAATCTGAGTAATACACACACACACACACACACACACACAGTATATAAAAGCCTTTCACTTATATGATTGTATCACACAGACAAACACACACAAACGCTCATAACTAAAACGAAAATCCACAATTATCGGACTCAAATCAAGAAGCTCCTCCCTCTCTACTTTCTCTCTCTACATGTCAATGGCGAATCAGAACTACGTATAGCTTTCTCAACGGTGCATATATATAATATAGAGAAAGAAACACTTCGACGACCTGGTATGCCAAAACCCTAACTACTTGCACCAGTATTTTATCATGCAATGTCTGTTGGATTTACAACGTATTTTCTAAATCTAGATTGTTGTGGTGTTATGCGATCTGATCCGTCTTTAAGATCTAAATGTTTCTCTCTCTTGATTTATGAAAAATGTAGATCGATTCGAATTGTGATTAGGAGCTTAATTTTGTTTATGATATATTGCAGGTTGATCTGAAGATTTACTTCGCTGATCACTTGTCTTTAGAATTGGCATTGCACGATTAGATTTGTTGTTTTATGAGGAAGTGTGCTCTTTGTTCCAGAATTTGGTGTGGTTTTGACTAATAATTTTGATTTAGATAATTGGATTTTCTCTGATCGGACGAGTAGATAGTTGATCTATAATTGGGTGTTGAATCGGGACTTTGTGAGCTTATTCTGCCTTCTGGTTATGTCTTGGATGGTTTTATGATGAGTGTGCTCTGTATGCTCTCTTGATTATGTGATCCAATTATATGATCTGTGCATTTTGTGATTGTGAAGGAAGTTAATAAGGTAGTTGTTTCAATGCTAGTAGGATTTGCGGGGGATGTTGATTTTAGAAATTGGAACTGTCATGTTATGATAGGTTATGGTTTTTGTATATCTTGGAGATTCAAGTTTAAGCAATAGGTTTTCTTAGTGGGTTTGCTCAGCTCAACTTTTTAAAAGGAGGTTGCACAATTTGGACATGAGAAGCCCCTGGTTGAGTAAATTCTCTGTAATTTTCGGCCCTAGACCGCCGCTCAATTGGTTGCTGTTGTGTATTATAAGCATCTTTGTACTAATTGCATTATTGGGATCATCTTCTTCAAGTGCCTTTGACTCTGTAACTTCTGCTGCAAAACCCAACATTTATCTGAATTATAGAAAGCTAAAGGAGCAAGCAACAAGTGATTATTTGGAGTTAAAGACTCTGTCACTAGGACCTAGTCGTCTAAGAGAGTTCAGTCTCTGTGGCAAAGAAAGAGAGAACTACGTACCTTGCTATAATGTGTCTGGAAATTTGTTAGCTGGTGTTAGTAATGGGGAGGAGTTTGATCGACACTGTGAAGCATCTCAAGAGGGTCAACAGTGCTTGATTCGTCCTCCTAAGGACTATAAGATCCCCCTGACCTGGCCAGCTGGTAGGGATGTGATATGGAGCGGAAATTTGAAGTTAACTAAAGACCAATTCCTTTCTTCTGGAAGCATGACGAAACGGTAATCTTTATTTATCTAGTCTATCTTTGATGTTAGGAAACTAGGGGAATATTAGTGTCACCTCTTTTAATTACAAAATTGATTCAGGCCTCGGGACTTAAAATTTTTTTAAACACACTAGAATACTACATTGATCCCATATACAAGCACATGCCAAGAGGCCCTAGGTTGTTTTTGTGAGCTAATGACTGGATATTTAATATTATATACATTTCCCTCTTGTTCTTAACAAACTCTTCCAGGTTAATGTTGCTAGAGGAGAATCAAATTGCTTTCCACTCTGATGATGGTTATAGCCATGATGGTGTCAAAGATTACTCTCGCCAAATTGCCGAGATGATTGGGTTGGCAAGTGACTCTGAATTTTTTCAAGCTGGTGTATGTCTTCCTTCTCCTTTATATAGATTTAATTACATTTGTTACTTTTTACTTGAGCTGTTTTTTATTTTATTTTATTTTATTTTATTTGTGTTATTTTTTTTATTTTTATTATTATACTATTATTGTATTCTAGAGTATCTAAAAAAGTTCATGCTTGAACTAACTAAAAGTACTATATTTATTGCCATTCTTTCCTTTCGAAGAATCAACAATGCTGTAGGACCATTTCTGCTGCATTAAGTTTGTTTATTCTTTCTCTTACAGGTGCGCAGTGTACTAGATATTGGTTGTGGGTTTGGTAGCTTTGGGGCTCATTTGCTCTCACTGAAGTTAATGACTGTTTGTATTGCGGCATATGAGCTAACGGGTAGCCAAGTTCAGTTGGCCCTTGAGCGAGGTCTTCCAGCAATCATTGGAAACTTTATCTCAAAACAGCTTCCATATCCGTCATTATCATTTGACATGATTCACTGTGCTCAATGTGGCATTGTCTGGGATGGAAAAGGTACTGTTGGACTTGTTGGTCTACAATTTTTTTCCACTCACACATGACTAATTCCATGCACGTGCTTCCTTTTGTCTCTTGCTGATGCTAAAGTAGTTAGCTGTTCCTTCATTGATGCCCATATATTTTATTCAATTAAACATCTAGACTATTATTTCCATTATGAAACTGTGAACTTTTATTTGGATGCAAGTCAGATTTTTTCTCAACTTAAGAATCAAAAATCAAAACATTCAAACAGTGTGTAGTCATTGAAGCTGTCTATTTATGATACAACGTATGCTTAAAGTAATATCATAGTAACGATTTGCTAACACCTTTAAATATGAATTACTTTTGCTTAAATCAACTCTCTCCTTTCATGTAACTCCTTTTTTTTTTGTTTTTTAAGGGAAACAGTTGTCGCATTTAAACTGCTTCTTACGCTGTTTGACAACTGTTTCCCTTTTTTTTTTCTTTTTTTTTTTTTACTTATTAAAAAAAAAAAAGGGAAACAGTTGTCAAACAGTGTAAGAAGCAGTTTAACTTTTGAAAGCCTTAAATATGAAAAGTTTATGCTATGTGGAGCAACAACATGAATAGAAATCATTTCCCAATGTGTGAATGCAAAACAATTAAATGCAGTCAAAAAAGGCATTAATGCTGAACTTTGCAGTCATAGAGAATTTCGATGCACTACATCCTGTGTTTATACTGGATAGTAGCTCAGATTTTTGAGAGGTAATTTGCTTGGCAAACTCAACTCAAATCAACCCAAAAGTTTGTCCAAATTAATTTGCGTCAGTTCCATATATTTGTTTGGCCATCTGGTTTGATTCAGGGCCGTAGTCTTACCTAAGGAATAGGAGCCCTTATCTTTCCTTATGGTCTTAGTTATGTTGTATAGGTCCTAATCAAACTCTGATTTCCTCTTACTTGATTGTAATTATTAAAAATGTAAATTTATTATTTTTCATTTACTGTGCTATTGTCTCTATCAATTTATTACTAATTGTGTGCATTTAACCAAACACAGTAGTTACTTACCAGGAGTATGCAAACGACAAAATTAAACAAACTAGAAGACAATTAGATTTTATGTGGAAAACTTATAATTGAGAAAACCATGGGAAAGGAAAATTTTGTGTTAAACTGCTAATCTTGAATTTTTTATTGCATTTTCCTGTGTATATGAGGTAATTGGTCACCAAGGGAAATAGGTGCATCATTTTTTTCCTGTGTCTAAAGAATTTTTTTGCTTCATTTTGTGTTAAAAATTATATTTAGTTAACTGATATATAAATATTTTTCATGCAGTGGTTAGTGGGAAATAGAATTATTAGTTAGTTATGAATCATAGAACCTAGGCTACCTAGCAAAAGAAAGAAGAAAAAAAAAAGTTATGCATTATGGATCCAAGTTGGTGACTCAGGATATTAACTATTGTTGGATTATTATTATCTCGTTAACTATTATAGACATTAAAATACTATCACTAGGAGCAGTGATACTTCGACCTTGCAGATTTACATTTCGTTCCACACTAATGATGATTTTACAAATCAGATGGGATGTTCCTCCTTGAAGTTGACCGTTTACTGAAGCCTGGAGGTTATTTTGTTTTGAAACCACGTGGACATTCATTGAGTTCAAAGAAGGGACACATGTTAACAGCAATTGAAGAATTTACCCAGAAAATCTGTTGGAATCTTCTAGCTCAGCAAGATGAGACTTTTGTCTGGCAGAAAACTGTGGAGGCTCATTGCTATACATCTAAGTGAGTCTAGTAATTGTAATGCACGCCTTTCCCTGATGACGTGTTGTATTTCTTTGCATAAGTGCTTGAATTATAAACAAATTTTAATTAAGGCAGTTTGAAAGCTAACGTAAAACTCGTCAGAATGAATATGACATGAATCATAATAAGTGCTTGAATTATAAACTGATTCTAACTTAAGGTGCTATCGTGTTCATTCACTTTAATTTTTGTTTGGAAACTTATTTTTTTCCTTCTCTCCCCCCTTCCCTTCTCCTCCTTTTTTCTCAAGAAAACACCTCTAATGTGCTTCTGCTGTTCTTCATTGCAGCAACCATGGTCTCATACCTCTTTGTAAAGAAGAGCAGGACGCTCAATCATATTATCATCCTCTTGTACCTTGTATAAGTGGGACTACCAGCAAACGCTGGATTCCCATTCAGAAACGGTCTTCTGGTTCCCTTTTGAGCCCAGCTGAGCTTGAAGTTCATGGAAAGTATTGTTTTTAAGCAATATTTAGTTCTTAATGTTGTATTGATAATTTGTTTGTTACAATAGTTTTATGTTGAATTTTTCATTAATCTCCAGATGTAATAAATCAGATGGGACTTTCCCTACTTAATCACTCATAATGTCACTGTACTGATTCCCTTCTATCTTTGCAGGAATCCAACCTGAAGATTTCTACGAAGACTTGCAGATCTCAAAATCAGCTCTAAGAAACTATTGGTCTTTGCTTACACCATTGATTTTTTCTGACCATCCAAAGAGGCCAGGCGATGAAGACCCATTGCCTCCATATAACATGATACGTAATGTGATGGACATGAATGCTCATTATGGGTGTTTAAATGCTGCATTTATGGAGGCAAAAAAATCAGTGTGGGTGATGAATGTTGTGCCCATCAAGGAACGTAATACGCTTCCTCTCATACTTGATCAAGGTTTTACTGGCGTTTTGCATGACTGGTAGGGTGTTATTTTGACTTCCCTCTAAATTATGTATCCAAACTGGTGGTTCTTTCTCTTTTAAGTTCTTTTTTGACACGGTTAATAAAAAAAAATTATTGGAAGCTTTGTCTCTGCTTTTTGGACAAATAAGACGAAGAAACTTTTCTCTCCCTCCGTTCCTGAAAGATCTTGGTAGAAGATCCTTCTCAGAAAAATGGTTTTAGATCTCTCTTAAAATACTGGTTCTATCAATACAAAATCTATCTTTTCTTTTAAAAAGATTTTGAGAGAATTTTGTGGGCATTTTAGGTCTTAAAGAATATATTGATGTTAAATTTGATTGCATATACGTTCCTTATTATGTGATGAAGATGTGAAGAAAAATGACTGGATCTGAAGGTATTAAATTGTCTAAAACATGAAAAGTGAGGCAATGCTAGATTTGATTTTAAATGATTGTCAATTTATACCAACTTGGTTTTGCAACAATTGAAAGGTGTCGTAATTTCCTTCATGTGATTTTAGGACTGCCTTTGTACACTTGTAATCGTCTCTCTTAAACTTCATGCATAATTTCTTCTGGAGACTGAACTAAAGTCAGTAAACCGAAGCACACATACTGGATTTATTGGACTTTGAATGTCTACGTGAAGTCAAAGTCTTACACATTGTGGATATTTTTAAATTTATTTGTGGGTTGCATATTCTTGAATACCAGTCTTGCATTTCTTTGATTACTTGTCCATAAACAGTTCTACAAATATAATTACTACAGACTCCTTCAGTTATGGAAGAATCAAACTCTGTTCTGACTTGGATGCTCTGTGGAATTGGGCACAGGTGTGAACCCTTCCCCACATACCCCCGAACATATGACTTGCTTTATGCAAATGGGCTCCTTTCACACCTTACTTCAGAGGGATGCAGTATAATGAACTTGCTTTTGGAGATGGATCGTATTTTACGCCCTGAGGTAATTTTAATCGTATTTGAGTGTGCGTGTGTTGGTTTTTTCTGGTTGAAAAGTTATTTGTTTACTAAGATTGATATTGTTTTCTAAAATCATTCAAAAAGATTTGCCTATAACATCTCTATTGAGTATTAAGCTCCTATATGGTGTGCATCATTTGATGGACCGGTCTTTATTTCTACTGTTTGTTCTAGTCCTTGCACCTTTCACATGATTGAACAGTCAATTTTGATATATTCACTTGACCAAAAAAAAATAAAAAATTGATATATAAGTTAGTGGTTGGTTGGCAGGGATGGGTTGTTCTTTGTGATATTCTAGGGCCAATAGAGAAGGCGCGTGCACTTACTACACAGATTCGATGGGAAGCAAGGGTGATTGACCTTCAGAATGGCAGTGACCAACGGCTACTTGTTTGCCAAAAGCCATTCTTGAGAAAATGATTGATTCAGCTCCACGGTTCTCACCCTTTGTAGGACAATCCTTTTTGACTATGGTAATTTCTCTGAACTTGTCAGGAAAATAAAGGAAACAAAATTTCGTCATTGTTGCTGCTGTTATGAAATGTGCATTTCGTACTTTTGAATTCCTCAAAGAGATTTTATGGATGCTTGTAGAAATCATGGATACAATTCTGCTGAAAGTTTAAAGAGTGCATGCACAGGGTGAAGAGTTCACAACATTGTATCTGACCAAATATAAAAATTATGACTTGAAGCAACGTATGAGATTCAGAGCTGATTAAGTTGGAGCTGTGTTAGTTAGGAAAATATATACATATATATATATATTGGAGCGAGTTCATGAAAATCACCAGCCATTTGTGAATGAAGCTTGTGTTTAGTTTGGATCTTTGCTACGTAAAAAACAGTTCAGCAGTAATTGCATGTTTTTCAGGACTCTGGTCGATATCGTATTCATTATGGTCCAAGATTTGTTATGATCTGTACCGTAGTGAAGTTGCACGACACCTCCACTATTAGTCTGGGCTTGGAGTGTAGGTGGATTTCCGAGATGCCCAACATTGAAAGAGAGGTGCGTTCAGAAGCTGTAGTAGATTAGAGGAGATTTTGCTGCAGAAGTGGCTGTAGATGTGATCATTTTTTCTACAAGAGTTTGTAGCAATTCATTCATCCCCATTTTTTTTTTTCTTTTTTTTTTCTGATTTCTATATCAATTTTGTAACTGGATTTGTGTTTCTGTACTGAACAAACTCCCCCGTCGAGGAGGGGAGCTTCGTGCCACGAAGTATAAGAACTAATGTTGTAATATAGTTGTTTCTCATCCCACCTTCTTTTCAATTCACAAGCTTCACTGTTAATTTTGTACTTGAGACCCATGTTTTCATATTGAAATTTGAACTTGGCGGTCTGCCATTTCTTCTTTTATCTTCTTGTTTTGGCTGGGGAAGTATAGTAAGAAAAACTAACAGAACAAAGAATTACAAAACAAGTACACAAGAAGTTGGTATAGAGCGTTGTTTGAGGAAGGGGTGCACTTGGCCCGGTTCGATTTCTTGCTTAATTGGAATCAACCCGGTCCGGTTCGGTTTCTTGCTAAATCGGAATCAACCCGTTTCTAATGATTCCCAAAAAATTGAAAATGGGACTGAAACAGTAACTGTTGGATATGAAACCGAAGGGAAAAATTTTGGAGGGAAAGTTTTCGTAACCGTTGGGACATGGAATCGGAGGAAAAATCTTTTTACTTTGCAGGAAAAATATGTTATACATTGTAAGAAGTTAATAGAAAGATATATACATGAAAATTTTCTCTAAATAGTTACAGAAGTTAAGAGAGAAAATTACAGAATATGGTTCAAATTACTGATGCACAACACCCTCATCAGAATATAGGGTAAAGAAATGCTTGAATTTTCTAAACAACGCTGGTACAATATTTGTTGGAATGGTGCTAGACCAGCAACAACCTTTCCCGCTGCTTGAAACAAAATTCCGACTTTATCAAATTTGCAGAATAGAGGAATCTGTTTTGTGTCTATTTTGTGCATAATATAATTATAATTGTAAATTGTAATACTGACTAATTGTAATTATAATATAATATAAATCATAAATTGTAATTCTAAATGACTATTTATTTTTGGTCAAAAAGTGGTGGGTTATTTACACATTTTTTGAAAAATTGGGACTGACATGCACCTTTCTTTAAAAATAAGGACTCATAGTAGTCATGTTTGAAAATGAGGGAGGCATTGTGCACAAAACCTATACTTCAAGTGTTTTCTTAACTTTATCATAAAATATATATATACTGCATAAAATGGAATCGGTTCGGTTCTAAAGGATCTGAAGCTGGAACCGAACCAAATCGAAATTCAATAATTCCCAATTTTGAAATCAGAATCGAAATCGAAATGTTGAAGAACCGAAGCATATATTCAGTTCGGTTTGGACCGACTCTGTGCACTCTTAGTTTGTAACCCACAAAAAATTTATGAAAGTACAAAATATTTCTAAGTAAGGTTATGAGACGTTTGAATTCAAAAATTGGAACTGAAAATATTTCTAAGTATTTGGAATGGTGCTCTTTGATGGGATTTGAAACTGAAAATGGCAATCCGAGTGTTTGGAACCTAAGATGCGATTTGATGAGGCTTTTAACTCAAAAATGGAATTTATATATGGTATTGGGAACATAAGATTTCATGGGATTTGAAATCCCAAATATGGTGTCTTCAAATCCCACCAAAAAAATGGTGAAGTTTGATGGGATTTATAAATCAATTTAGTTGTACTTTTGTAACTTTATCAAATTATCCTTTTAAGCTAAAATTCTAATTAATAAGGATAAAATAGTAGAAAAATACACAAAATGAAATTTTGATTTCAAATCCAATCATATTTTTTTCTTTCAATTATGATATATATACTTGATTTGCAATTGAATCCAGCCGAATCATGAATATTTATTATTTAGAGCAATACGTAGTAATAATAATAATTACTGTTTGAGCTCAATTTTAGGGTTTCATGGTGCTTAAAAAAAAAAAATGGAAGTAGGGTTCATGTGCTTGTGTATAAGTTCAAAACTCTCCAAGTCCCAATACATTTTCAAAAACATTATTTATGTCACAAACAATACATTTTCAAAACATTATTTATGTCACATGAATTAAAGTTTAAGAACTGTAAATTCAAAGAAGCCCATAGTAAAATATAAATTACGCTCAGACCCCGGTTAATACTTACAAAAACTGCATCCAAGCCCGTCCGACTTACACGATTGAACGAAACCACCTCACACAACCCTCAACATATACCTCTCTCGAATCACAAATTGCGCGCTCTATTTATCTTTTCAAACCCTCACCCAAAATCCGACGGTCCAGATCTGGTCTTCCTTCCCCAAGTTGCTCGATCTTTAACCAGTCTCTTCACTATATAAACCTCCCCATTCCTCTCGTAGCCTTCTTATTTCTCTCTCTAAAAATTTGCACTCTCTTGTGTTAAGCGTTGATCTCTCTCTCATCACCAGCTATGTCGACCGAGAAGGAAAGAGAGACGCAAGTTTACATGGCCAAGCTCTCTGAACAGGCTGAGCGTTACGAAGGTCTCGCATTTGATCCCTATTTCCTTTCGTTTGCTACATATAAATTCATACATCTGAAATATATATATGTGTGTGTGTGTGTGCGCGTGCATATTTATCTGTATATAGAAGCTGATCTTGATGTGGATCTGTTTGTGTTTTGATCTCTTTGTATGTGTAAGTTATGAAATTGCATAATGATGAGTATTGCTTTGACTGATATGGTTTTGATTCTCCCAATTTTGAAAAGATTAATACTTTTTCTGGGAAATGTGGATACAAATTGATCGATTAGGTTACTTGTATTGGATTGATGTGTTTAATTGAGAGTTAGGTTGTGCTGTTCGATGTTGACGTATGCGGAGATTTGATGTTTCACTGCTAGATTTATGTGATTATGTTTATAGGGATTCGTCCAACATTGTGATGTTTGGTTGAGATTTTATGCTTTTGAACACTTCGGCCTCAATGAAGATGAGCATTGTTGTACTTTACCATTTGGCTATGTATTTTTCAAGCTTATTGTGGTCTCACTTAGTAGGTTTCCATACCAAGTCTCAATCCAATTAAGTCCTACCCATTGGTTCTATACCCGATTCATAACTAGAAAGTTTCTCTGGTCCTTTGCTAATCGGAGCTAAAACTCTGGAAATTAAAAATGCCAAGATAGGAATAATACTAGATATTATTAGAAATGCCCAAAAAATATCACATTCGTAAAGCAGAAACACGATGATTTGAATTGTTTATTTATACTATACCTATGCAGTTCAAGTCTTGATGAATTGTTTAACAGTGTTTATGCATGTTTTTATCTCCGGTGGTTGTGAAACCTTTTATCGGTTTTGAAAACATTTAATGGCGTCGGATTAGTGAAGATTTAAGATCATTGTAATAGAAAGTTTATGAGGAATTGTGGTATTACATTTCTTTGTAGTAGAATTTTTGCAGTTGATACTAAATAGGAAATTTCATTAAAGTTCAAGTCTGAAACTTCATGTTTAATTGATGTCAGAAATGGTTGAGTGTATGAAGAAAGTTGCAAAACTCGATGTCGAGCTGACTGTGGAGGAGCGGAACCTTCTTTCTGTTGGATACAAGAATGTTATAGGTGCCAGGAGAGCATCTTGGCGTATTATGTCTTCAATTGAGCAGAAGGAAGAGTCAAAGGGAAATGAGCAAAATGTTAAGCTGATTAAGGGTTACCGCCAGAAGGTGGAGGACGAACTCTCCAAGATTTGTAGTGACATTCTTACTATCATAGACAAGCACCTGATACCTTCTTCCACCTCAGGAGAAGCCACTGTTTTCTACTATAAGATGTGAGTCACGTTGCCCCGGATAATCCTATATTTTTTTTTCCTTGTTCGATATGAGTTACTCTGTAGCAGTTTACTCGTTGTTTTTTAGATAAATTACAATACTTTTCTAATATTTTTATCCTTGTTTATCTTGTGGAATAGAATAAATTATCTCTAGATATCATATTGAATATATTCTAAATGATATCATACAAGAGAATAATTGTTTTCAGATATGAGAGAGAAAAAAGTTATATTTCATTCACCTATTATATAAGGGCAGTTCATTTGTTCCACGGTCACTCTTGCAGGGTCGTAGTGAGTTTTCTTTGTTTTTTGCACATCTTTTATACAAGTGTTGCACATGTAAGAAGGCAGTGGACTCTACTTATACTTTTTTACCTTCCCTTTTGGGGAAGGGTAATGTGACTCAGCTACTTCTTTCTTTTTGATGTTTCCCTTTTCTTCTCAAAATTTATATTATATTATGCTCTGGCTAACTTGAATTCAGGAAAGGTGACTACTGCCGGTATCTTGCTGAATTTAAGACTGATCAGGAAAGAAAAGAGGCCGCTGAACAGTCACTGAAAGGCTACGAGGCACGTCCACATCTATTGACACGACTCTTTAACTTTTCTATACATAGAAATGCATGGTGAATTAATGAATATCAACGTATATTTCTTTGCTTGATGTGTCTTCTTTTTTGCTATTTCCTTGTTAGGCTGCTTCTGCTACTGCAAATACAGATCTCCCTTCAACACACCCAATCCGTCTTGGCCTTGCCCTCAACTTCTCCGTCTTTTACTACGAGATAATGAACTCTCCTGAAAGGTAATTCTTATATTTGTGGCATCACCTTTTGAAAGATTTTATATTTCTCCTCCTATTTTTGTGAGACGGATTGATGATTTATTTTGGTTACAAAATTTGCAGGGCCTGTCATTTGGCTAAACAAGCTTTTGATGAGGCAATTGCAGAGTTGGACACATTGAGTGAGGAGTCATACAAGGACAGCACCCTGATTATGCAACTGTTGAGAGACAACCTTACACTTTGGACCTCTGATTTGCCTGAAGATGGAGGTATTTTCTAGCCAAAAATGATTAGGAGGATTAAGTGGAATTTTGAATTTGGGGATGTGGAATTGTGCCCCCAAACTAAGAAAACAAAGTCTATTGTTCAGATAAGCATTTCATATTCTGAGTCTAAAATTCCAGATCTACCTTTTGGAAAGACTTCTTATACTATGCAAATTGGGATCTTTAGCTAACAATTTGACTGCCATCCCAAATGTATTGAATTGAAAAAAGTTCATGTCCTAATCCTGGTTTTCACTAGAAAAACCTGTAGTTATTGGTGTTGTGTTGTTTCATAAAATGCAAAACAGTAGATTGCTGAAAAATGGTCTGGTAAGAATAGAAAATGTGAGGTGCATGTTGGTGCGTGGATATTGTTGTGATGGTGCAATAGGGTCTACCATCATTCCACTTGTTGCTTGCCATAATCATGTTAGCGATGAGGAGAAGAGTGGGAAAGAGCGTGAATTTCGTCTCAGTTTGTGAAGATAATTTAATCTCTTTATGTTTTCTTTTTATTGTTATAATTAGAAGCATATAGGATTTATGAAGGTTAATATCGATTGTATATGTTCTGGTGCAGGTGAGGACAGCTTTAAAGGTGAAGAAGGCAAAGCTGCAGAACCAGAGGTTAGAGTTTCACTTTATTTTCAATCAAATACTGATTGGAACCTTTATTTTTTCTTCCTTTTTGTTTTTTGCATAAATCTAAAAATAAATTGTTTTGCAGCATTAATGGAGTAACCAAGAGCATTACATGAGGTTGTTCGAAGGAGAATACTATGCAAAGTTGCTTTTTTTCAGCTTTTCTCGCGAAGGGAAGCACGGGACAGTGTAGAAAGACATCTTACAATGGAATTAATCTTTTGGGGCCATCCAAAAGCCAGAAGATGAGGAGATTTTGAGGCTGACCAGCCAGATTTTTGTTTCCGAGTTTTTTTCCTTTGTGGACCTTGCCTTTGCTTCTGTTTCCGCTACTTCATGTTCTTCCATTGTGAATCTGTTATCCAAATGGAAAAAATATATTTTCAAATTTCTCAGCTTTAAAGTGTGATTGCTCATTTTTCTTTCTAAATTTCCCTTTTTAATATAATATCTCTTCTCTGATTGTGGTTCGAAGCTTTTGGTATCAGCTACCTTCTTTTCCAAACTCTCAAGTAGTCTCAACCTTTCTTGAACTGGATTTATATGTATGAGCTGACCATTAAGTCTCTTCACACTTGCTAGGAGTACTAGTTGCCATTTTGTGTGTATAATGTACTTTTATTCTAGGACTTGAAATATTTTGTCCCATTGCATGAATACATGAACTAATTCAAATTGTACAGTGTGGTTTAAAATGAGCTCGAAGTGATCTCATGCTCGACAACGCCTGATTTCTAGAGGGAATGGTGTGTTTTCTTTGTTCATCGGTGAAGAAGTGGAGGACAAGACAATTGTCTACAGAAGACATTCACATTCAAGGGCGTCCACCTTGATTTATTGCGGCTGCATAGTGGCAGCAAACAGATTGAGAGAGTATAGGCAGGCTCAAGACCACCTTGCAGCCATTGAAGGGAGACTACAATCGCTTCGTGCTCACTTGAAGCACGCCATTGCTGCACATCAAGCTGCTGCTGTGGATCATTCATTAGGTTTGTAGGATTTGGTTTTGAAGGATTTATTGTAATATTATTTGCCTTTGCAATGAATTTTTTTTTTTTTTTTTTTTTTTTTTTGTGTATAAATCTAAAAACTAAACTGTTTGCAGCATTAATGAGTAACCAATATAGATGAGGCAGTTGAAAACAGAATACTACTACCATGCAAACATGGGACAGTGTGGAAGCCACACGTTTTTGTTTCAAAGTTGTTGCTTTACTTCTGTTTCTGCTACTTCATGATGTTTTTGTTTCAAAGTTGTTCCTTTACTTCTGTTTCTGCTACTTGATGATCTCCATAGTGAATTTGTTATCCAAACGGAAAAATATATTTTCAATTTTCTCAGCTTTAAAATGTGATGGACCTTTTTTTTTTTTTTTTTTGCCTATTCTTTTGAGGAAAAATTATACTATTCGGACTAAATGTTTCTGATAAGTTGTTGAATTTAGGATTAGGCTAAAGTTGAATTGGATTTCTCTAATTGAGTTAAGTTATATCCTTGTTTTTTAATGCCACTTGGCCTTTAGTAGACTTTCTCTTACAGAAAAATATAGATACTTAGACAAATCTTAAAAAAATTATAATTAGCAATGGCTGATAAATAGTACATAAACAAATTTAAAAAAAAAAATTTGAAAAAATTTGACATTTATGGTGGTGTTGGCGCCACCGATTATGGTGGTTGTGCCTTCAATTTTGCAGGTGGTGGTGGAAGTTGGGTGGGGATGGTGACGGTGCTATACGCCAGCAACCCTAGTGGCTCAATGCATAGAAGATCCGAGTGTTGGAGTGCCTGAAAAAAAAAAAAAAAAAAAAAAAAAAAAAAAAAGGATCCCAAAAATATGGGGATCAGCTTTCCTCTCTCTCTCTCTCTCTCTCTCTCTCTCTCTATATATATATATATATATAATGAAAAGGTGTGAACAAAAAAATCTATTAATGGAAATTTTGATTTTTGTGGCGGACCTCGTGAAAGACATAATTGTCATTTAAAAAATATGACACTTAAATTTTAAATTAATATTATACTCTTGAATGTTATTTTTATCAAATTGTAATAATTTAGCGGTTAATTAAAAAAGTTATTTGTAATTTTTAAAAATAATAGAGAGATTTAATTATTTTAGCCCTTTTTATACTCTAGTTTTTTTTTTTCCCCGGCAAAAGCAATGCCGTACAGCATCTACAAGAGACAAAAACAAACGAAACAGAGCGTAACTGATATAACATACAGGACCATAAGACCCAACAAGACAGGACCACAAGACCCGCAACTAGAAACAGAGCCTAACTGATATAACAGACATAATGCAACACATAGTCTACATAGATAATAAGGCGCAGAGAACAAGCTTGGATTGAGCCCATCCATAGAGTGGACAGCAATAGTTGATGCCAAAAAGAAGAAGTCCAGCGCACAATAACAGACTGGATAAGCACCCTTCCCGCACACCAACACCAGCCAACATTATAAGAACACCTGAATCGGAGAACACCCTAATCGCAGAACACCGGGAGAGCGATCAAGCGGCCCAACGCCCAAGACTGGAACAAGTGAGAAATATCCCACAAATTAGTTGGGTTTTAACTAGAACTCGTAGACAAATTTTTAAAAAATTGAAATTTTTTGACAAGACTTGATAATTAATTACTTAAATTACTAAAATACTCTTTTTTAATACTTTCCTTAACGAAAGGTGAAATAAAATAAAATACAATTCCTTTTTCAATTCTAATTCTAATTTCAAAGAGTATGGTTTAGGGTCTATATATACGCAGCATACGCTATATCTTCTTTCGTTGTTCACCTTCTTCTGTCATTCGCCTCCAAATCCTCCTCGCATAAACCCTAGCCCAAATGACGTCGTTTCCTTCCAATTCGACTCCCCCTGGCCCAAATGACCTGGTTGAGTGGCGTGGCTACCTGTGCAAGTTTCGGAATGTTCCTTGTCTCGACAAACTCTGGAGTCTTCATCCAGAGACATTTTCACGCTTTATTCCAAATCCAGTCGGGGTCGAAGCCCCGGTGCTGGAGGAAATGTTGGTTTTCCTATCTTCTGTGGTGAAGACCTGGAGGGCACGACGATTGTGTGCTGAATACATTCAGATTGCTTGCTACGCCATCGCCGAGTTCAAGAGCGTCGGTCTCGATTTATCGTGGCTAGAGCCCCGCCTCACCATCTTCTTGGCTATGCAACTTTCCTGGGCATGTTTGAACCAAGCTTTCGACACCCAACAACTATCGATTGGTTCTCAGTGCACCGACTCAACCGACGACATTCTTGATCTTGTGGATGATTTTGGGAGAATTGGGTTGTAAAGGAAGGAATTTGGTGATGGATTGAGAGCAAAGTAACTTTGGTCTATCGGTAGAGGAGTTGCAGAAGCACGTCGTCTTCCTTGCAGCTGTTAAGGTTTTCTTGTCACTTTTCAATTCAATTGTGCGTATATATATATACATATTTGTATAGGAGATTTTTTTTATTCATGTAAACGAGCTCTTCAAGGGATAAGCTTTTCCCTATGTATGTGACGACATTTTTTGGTGTTTGGTTTTATGGAATGCAAAAAGAGTTTTTATATTCTTTTTATCAATATAGTTCTTCATTATTGACATCTCTGTTTAAAGTAAAACTTTCTATTGTCGAGTAATAGATAGAATTTGAAAGTGTTTTTTATTTATTAATCCAATAGACAATCTTTTTTGAGCTAACAATAGGTCAATTTTCCATTCCATGAACACAATGCTATACCAAAAGTAAAAACCGAAAATCAGAAATCCCACTTAATTGTAAACTAGAAATTCACATGTCTAAGTCATGTTTACTCAAGCAGATAACGTTCAAAATCATATTATGTTAGAATATGTGAAAATGTATTTTGCATTGAATGAATAATACAAGTGTACAGAGGGGTTTAAATAGGACATATCATGGAGCATAAGTAAACCCTATATGCTATGCATGGTAATGAGGGTAGGTGAAGCCGGCTAACACTGTTTGGGGCTTTCGGTGCCACACCTGGGTGACGGCGTTGTAGGTGATGGTGTAAGGGCTTGCCAGGACTGCTGGTCTGGGGGCGGTCCACCCCGCGATACACTTGCTGGACTTCTCCCCTCTCCGTCTGGGAGGCGGTGATTCAGTCCCAAACAAATATTCCTGAGGCGGTGACCTCGGCCGACTCCAGGCGAGAGCAGGCTTACCTTTGCTGCCATGTCCGCAGAGTTGCAAGAAAAAGATCCAGAGAGTATAGGCAGGCTCAAGACCACCTTGCAGCCATTGAAGAGAGACGAAAATCGCTTCGTGCTCAATGCGCTCACTTGGAGCACGCCATTGCTGCACATCAAGCTGTTGTGATCATTCATTAGGTTTGCAGGATTGGGTTTTGAGGGATTTATCGTGATCTTCTTTTCCTTTGCAATGATGTTGATTAAATCATGAACTCAAATAAGAAATGAACTGATCAAATGTTGTGAACAATATATTTAGGTTTCTTTATTAATAATTTAAAGACTCTGTATCTCAAAAACTAACATATGCAGAATGTGAGTCTTAAAAACAGTTTGAGTTGGGCTCGTTTATTTAACAACGATTTTGTACGCTGTTTGTTTATCTAGTGAATAGGTTTACCCCAAAAATAAATAAAAAGGGAATTTTTCCAGTTTGCCATTCATTAGGCTGCTCTGGTAATTACCAGTTTGCCATCGTCTCTCCATCCAGAGACGTGTGTGTTGGCGGTGTCTATTTTCATTCTTGAAGTGAAAAACCAGAAAAATTGGTGGTGAGAATCAGATCATCGAGGTTGGGATGCAAAAACAAGCCGTTTTATCGAGTTATGGCTGCCAATAGCAGATCTCCCAGAGATGGCAAGCACTTGGAAGTTTTGGGTTACTACACCCCATTACCATTACCAGGTACCATCTGTTTCTCTTATTCCTTGTTTTTGGTTTCTTAGAAACGAAAAGAAAATAAAATTTTGGCTGCCAGTTGTGGGTTCTAGCAACCCATTTTCTTGGCTTCTATCACGGCCTTTTTTTCCCCTTTTATTATTTGCTTTGTTGCTAAGAAAATGTTGGAAAATAAGGGTAAATGTTTCAAATGTTAAGTTATTACTGTTTGGAAAAAAAGAATTTTTTCTTCTAATATTATTCATTGGATTAGTTGAGGGGATAACTATTTTGTCAAATTAAACTGCTTAAATTGTAAAAGTCTCAAAGTATTGTTCTCACTTCTCGTGTAATCAGTTTTAGCAGAAATGCTACAGAGGGTGTTTGATTTCTAACATTATTAAAATTGTCTTGAATGTGTTTGGTTTATACAGGTCAAGATGGTGGTAAAGGGATGGGTCTTAATTTTGACAGAGTGAAGTAAGTGATTTTGATGTTATTTCCTTTCCAACTTCAGCATTAGTTTCCAAATTATCAGTATATATTGG